GTGGAAATTTCCCTGGCTGTCAGAAAATAAATGCTTCAGGGAATGCTGCATAACCACATACAGAAACCACTTCTCTATTCCCAGACTCTCAACACCAGTCTACTCTTGGAATCCTTCCCAATTTGAAGACCAACTATAGACCAACGGAGAATTATTGGGTCTCCATACTTTAACAACAGAACCTCTGTATCTTACATCTGAATGCATCCAATCTCGAGAGAAGCCAGGCTTCCACTGGTGGGAAAAGATCAGAGGCAGCATTCCAAGCCAAACTGTATCCAGCTTTATTAAAGATACTTTTCATAAACAATCATGGTATTTCAGGCAGGACATGGGCACACAATCGTTAACAGTATACAACTTTCAATCTCCCTTCTTGGATGGACTACCAAAAAATCAGAAAGCCACTATAAAATCCAATGAAGTCTTCATTTGATGCTCTGAGTAGGGAAAGTTTAGAGTGAGGGTTGACACTTCACATTTAGCATGTTGTTTAACAACTTTTCACAAGCCGACCCTGACTTTCAGAAAATGAAATGAAAATGGCAGAATTATCAATCTGAAGATCCACAATCTAGAAAAGGAAATCATTGTTCTTGTGGGACAGCATCTCAACGTCACTGGCAAGTCCAGAATGCTTGACACACTGGTAACATCAATTTTTGGGAGTCAGGTCCCAATAGGTCTCTGGGCTTAAGGGAGTTAAGTCTATGCTGATGGCAGAGGAAAGGAGGACATAAAATGAACTGGGAGTTTTCCCATACCACAAGGCATTTGTGCCAAGGTGGCTACAGGTGTCAACATCAGGGAATCCCTCCTCCTGGGAGCCAAGAGGAAGTCTCTCAAAACTAGCAGGGAAAGGTGCTTTCCCCACATCAATCCAGCTTTGGAGACATTGTACTAGTGACATATGCTCCTTCCCCAAAAAACAACAATGAAGTGTTCTGTGTGCTAACAACATAGCTTAAAAAAAAAGTAAAACAAAATTCTGCATTTTTATAAAACTTGATAAAAAATAGTATTTCAAACTGTACAGTCACCAGAAGTACACAGTTATCAAAAATGCACACACTTCACTTGGCATCTCCAGCACCTTCAGCTTTTTGTGCCTAAAAGAAAAAGAAGACAGATTAACCCAACATGTGGATTTTAAAACTTGGTCCACATTCCACTTACAGTATCATTTTGTTCCTAGGCCAATGTTCAGGCCTGGGATATTTAGGACACCAAGACTCTACTTCTTTTGAGAATGGGCTTGCCGGGCAACTTTGTTAAGATACCTCCTGGTCAGGCCTTGCTGTAGAACTAGGAAAGAGGGCACGAGACTGAGGTTATTTCCAACTTTAAGTCTCTTATAGTGCATACTGTACTGAGTGTAGTATCTCACGACAGGACAGCATAGTGCCCTTAAGGTAAAAGCAGAGATTAAGAATCCAACGTGAAGAATCCTATCTATGTTAACAGGAAAATGGTAACACGTTTAGAGTGATCTAGATAAAAGAAAAGGGTAGTAAGTTTCTGGGATCAGTAACCAATTGAGTAAGCACACTTAAACAGCAACTATACCTGGTCTGTTTTGGCATCTCCATTTTCTGCAGGGTTATTCCCATCCTTGCCGGCATCAGCTTTTCCCTTTTTCCCTTTGGGTACCTTCTCTCCCTTCTACAAGTGAGGAAAAATAGAACTGTTTCTCCCCCTTTCATATTACTAGCATATGGAGGCAAAGTTCTGCACAAGGTAGGTCAGTTTATGAAGACATACCCTTTTCTTGCCCTTGTAAGAACTGTTAACTAAAACTATAAATCGTAATTTGTGGTCTTGAACATACAAAAATTCATACGCAAGTGTAACCAATAGACTAAAACCAAACACTTAAGATTTAAGTACAATTTTCTGTAAAATGATGACAAAATTCTCAATTAGAAACCCAATGTTAAGCTACAGCCATATCATCCTGAATGTGCCCGATCTCGTCTGATCTTGGAAGCTAAGCAGGGTCAGGCCTGGTTAGTACTCAGATGGGAGAAAGCCAATGTTATAAATATTACCACTAAGACAAGGTACCAAAACAACTTATGGAGTCATGAATATGCTGAATTAGGTGAAGGTAGCGAGAGTATTCTGAGACAGTCTCACTGTTCAGGCTGGCCATGAGTTCACTATACAACCTAGGCTGGCCTCAAACTCATGGTGATTCTCCTGCCTCAGCCTCCCCAGTGCTGGGTTAAAGGCATGAACTACCACACTGGGCAGAAACAGTTCTGTGAAAAATATCAATTCTAGTGTTAGTACAATTGTCTCTCAGTCCCACTTACCTTTGCAGGGGCCTTTTTAGGCTTGGGCTCTGGCTTTGGAGGAGCTGGTTTCTTATTTTGGCAAGCAGAAAAGATAAGAATATTAATACAATGGCCCAAAGTAAACAACCCACAACCAGACCACAGTACTAACAGCTTAGAATTTTCTACTTGTGAAAGTTTTTCCGGGTGGCTTTCATTTACAATGTAACATAAGCATCCCCCCTTGGCTAGAGTCACTAGAATTTCAAAACCCATTAATTCCAAATGTGCAATAGCCTGAGGTAGTCATTCAAACCACCTTCTAATCAATCCACCTGAAGCAAGGTTGTTTTCCAATGCCTTTCAGTTTCAAGAATACGGAAAAAAAAATTAAAGTATACACTTACAGCAGACAACCTTGCGGATCTTCTCTGTGGCTATTAAAATAAAACAAGAAAGTTAGAAAAATAAGCAAACGTTTTGTCCCAATTTTATTACAAGTGAAAGCAGTGTCTTTGGCAAATTCAGGCCTTGGGCTGTGGTTCTTTCCAAACGAGAGTCCTGTGGTCCTTACTGTCCAAGGCTCTGTACACCCTCTCCAGAGAATAAGACTTACTTCGTCCTTCACCTTGGCTTTATCACCTTTAGCATCCCCTTCAGCCTAGAAAATATAAAGACAAAAAAAAAAAAAATCTAGCTTCTGAGAAAATCCTCAGTTGAGTCCCTAAACTTAACAAGGTTTTAAGACAAAATTTAGAAACATCAGCTTCTCAGGACACACACGCCCAGCTTTCAGCAAGTAGCCGAGGTGCCCAGGACGCTCTAAGCTCGCCCTCTGAGCACAAGGCGCACACGGAGGGCCCGCGACCGCGCCAGGCAAGAGCAACAGCTGCAGCTGGTGCAAACAAACCCTCCGGAGGCGGAGCCGGGCGCCGTTGTCATGGCAGCCGTCGAGGGCGGGTGAGGGAGGCGCGCGCGACCCAGGGAACTCGTGGGCGGAGGCGGCGGCGCGCGTCTCGAGCGAGGAACTAGTGCGGGCGGAGGCGGAGCCACACCGCCCAGCCCCGCCTCCTCGCGGCGGCGGTTTTTTGGCGGCAGCGCGTTACCCCGCCCGCCAACCCCGAGCGCCGCCTTCCCGCCCTTTCGGGTTTGAATCGCCCGCCCGCCGGGAGGAGCGGGAGGGGGCCTGGCGGTGGGGGAGGGGGCACGAGGCGGGCGCGACGAGCCCGAGGGGAGCGGGATAAACAGCCGCCAACATGGCTCCTCCCGCCGCGGCCGCCGCTCCTCCAATATGGCCTCTGGCGCCCGCGGGCAGCTGCGCCGCGCTGGGGTAGCCTGAGGCCGCCGACCCCGCCTTGAGGACCGAGCTGGCGGCTCGCCCGCTCGGCCCGCGTCGACTCTCGCGGACCGAGCTGGGAGGCGGCGGCGGCAGTGGCGGAGCGGCGGCGGCCTGGTGCCTGCGGCCCTCGCGCCACGTACCTTTCTCTTGGGCATGGTGGCGACGGCGGCGGGACGCAGGCGCTGGACGCGAGATGCAGCGGTGCGCGGCTTTGGTCGGTCCAGGGGTCGTTCTCGCCTCTTCCTCACACTGCTCGGGCTCCGGGGGGTTTATAAAGTTTTTATAGCGCTGGGAGCCCCGGACCGGTTAGAACCGGATTTCACCTCCCGCCGCCGCTCATTGGCCCAGCTGGGGTCACGTGGGCGGGGTTTAAACTCACCTCCTCTGGAGGGAGTGAGGAGGGGAGTGGGGGGGAGGGCGCGCGAGACGGTGCCGCGCCGAGGGGGTGGGGGCGCAGTGGGGGAGGCGCGCGTCAGAGGCAATAAATGAGGGGTACGCGAGTCGGCGGACTCGGTTTCGCTCCCGCCAAGAGCTGGCTTTTCCAAACTACTAAGTTCCTTCCACCTTATGCAACGGAGCTACCCACTTCTCCAAGCCGTGCGACACTCAGGGCGCATCTCGGCGGTTTTCCTTCCTGTTCCCGCTGGGGGCCCCAGAAGAGGGGTTTGCGAGGCCTGGCTGCGCCACTCTGCTCCACTGGAGGCGGGAGGAGCACGCCGCTCGAGGCACAGGCTGCAACGCCCGGGGCCAAAGATGACGTTCGAGTGGGAAAAGAGCGGGGAGGCCAGCTTGGAGCAGCTGGACGTGCATCCTTCCAAGCTGCCACTCCGGGGAAGCCCTTCGTACGCCTCACCTGGAAGGCGGTTCTGCTTGAGGTGGGGTGGGGGCTTGCCAGGCACACTTCACACGCAGAGGTGCCTTTCGGGTACTGCGGGGCAGGTAGGAGCTGTCCTTTCAGCACCCGTTGTACAGCCTCCTCCCCAAAGGCTAATGAAGCCCCCCAACGCGTGTCGGGTGACTCCCTTAGGTCCCTGCATGCCTGGACCTCAAGACTCCATCACAGAATGATGGAGGGGGCCCTCCAAGAAGGCTGTTACTCCCCTCCCCCAGCACTACCGGTCTTGATACATCTAGCCCAGCTGCCCCCACCCGACGCGGCCACCAAGCTGGGGCGCTGCAGACACCGCAGCTGGCGAAATCCCTCCTTCCACTGTCAAGCTGGTTTCCTTTCACTTGCGCGAGGAAAAAGAGGGTGGAGGAAAGCGCCCGAGGATTAGGAAACAGTAGAGGAACAGGTGTGATGGCAAAAGGGCTGTTACAGTGCCCTCCTGCCCAAAGCCATGGGGTCCTGGAGCTAACCAAATGTACTGAGACAAGGTAAGCAATTGGAACAGCAAGATAAAGTGTTCTTCCTTTGCAATTAGCAAACAAATCTTAAATCTAAAAATTAAAAAAATTCTACTTGAGACCGAGGGCAGCACAGGAACAGGAGATAAATATCATGAGAGGTGGGAGGACATATAAATAGGCCCCCGCTGAATTCATGGAGCAAAGGTAGAAGCTGGCTTGTACGACTCAAAACAGAAAGGAGACTACCACCACAAGTTCAGACCAAGTATTCTGCAGTTCTTGCTCCTGGGCAGCACTGGACATTCTGCTTCTTTGCACGCTCGTGCCTCCTGGGGCAGCTCCTCCCTACTCCACCCAGAGCACCTTTCCCAGAACACAGGACCTCCGGCCAAAAAGAGATGCCAGTCCCATTAATCACGTCTGCTGTACCCCCAGCATGAGGGAGTCAGAGAAAGTAGACAACCCAACAGCCGTGCTCACAAGGCAGATTCCGTTTGCTGCCTGCAGCCCCTCATTCCCGCCTTAATTGTAGGGCTCTGCATTATAGCCGAATAATTCATGCCTTCCTAATTACGGCTGTCAACAGCCCCATTGTAAAGCTGGAAAACGTACAGCACCTGCTCTCCAGGAACCCTGTGCCAGGGACTGGTAGTGGGGAGTGCCAGGTGTGTAGGGGGCCTTGCCAAAGGGTGCACTGATTGGCTTTGCAATCATAGCTGGCATTTGTGCTTGATTCTAGGAGAAGGAATGATGGCCAAAGGGTCTCCAGTGCCAGATATCCAGGCACAGAAAGGGAGCACGATACCAGAGCACAGAAAAGTCACAGGTCTAAAGAATATACTCAACACTGCTTGCCAAGGTCCCACCTCTCCCAGAGGGAGTTGCTGGGCACACAGCTTGCAGAGTAAGATGACTGAAGAGTAGCATTTGGTTGGTATTACCAGCTGATATTTGCTGCTGTGGGATACCTGAAGCGGAGTTGCTCAGACAGCGCTTCAAAGGCACTAATCCTCTCAGCAGCTCTGCACGGATGCCTGGCAGGGGAAGTAAGAGAAAGGACACAGCCTTGACTCTACCCTCACCTTCCTGCTGGGGAAGCCTTGGCCCTCACAGGCAGAGGGCCTCGAACAAGTTCTGCCGTGCTGAGACTACATTGTCTCAGGGCCTGCTTAGGGAGCCAGGTCAGAGAGCTGAGGGAAGCCTTGAAGACAGGAAGAGTTCTAGATGGTGAGGGCAGGAGGCAGAGTCACTTGGGAGAAGGGCTTGGTTCTACTCAATCCTGATGGTTACAGGGAAAGAGGCCAATGTTCCACTAGACCACCAGGGCCTACAGGACCTTCTGTTACCCTGTAGCCATGGAGTGGGCCGGTCTCACTGAGGAGTGGAGGCTGGCCCCATGCCCCGCAAGAGGCAGAGAAAAGCTTGTGTGGGCTGAGTCGACAATAGGTAATTGGATTGTAATCACCCGCCTGGCTTCTGAGCGCCATTGGGGGCGCTGAGCCTTTCAGTGAGCAATCAGTACTGCGTGGTGGGAGGGGTAGAGATTCAATAGCAAATCCCAGGTGGAGAGCCAAGGGGAGGAGCAGCAGATGGGCAAATTTTCTTTCTGCCTCTCCCGCCCCTTTCTTCCTTGCCCAAATTATGCTGGCTGCCTATTAGCTATTTATCAGCAGATTCAAGGTAGAGCCAAATCTTTTGTGAAAGTCAGGTGGAAGACTAGGACAGATGGGTTAAGGTGCAGGCTTTGAGAAGACTTCTTCCCTGCAATACTGCATGCTGAAGGATATGCTAGTGGAAAAAGAAAGTGCATCTAGGGGCACAAGCAGTGGTGGCAAAGGCAGATGGGGCAGGCAGCCAATGAGCTGCTCCCCCTCCAACTGGTGACCAGAGTTGGATTTAGTGTGCTTGTGGGAAATTCTCACCCTCAATCCTGCCCATGGGCCACAGGCAGCCCAAAGGTATCTACAGCCAGCAGATCTGACCCTGGGGACTCCCCTGGCAAGCAAGGGGAGCATAATTCATCATTAGGAGGGGGCGTGTCTTTCACCAAGAAAAGAAGGGAATGGGGCCCTGGAGGCAGAGGGCAGGGCAAAGTGGCAGGTGGCCAGCCTCACTCAGGCTGATGCAGTGCCCAGATGTGCCAGCCAGTCAGCCCGCTTGAGTTCCAAGGCCTGCAGGAAGCCTTGGACTCGCTCTTCTCGTCTGGCTAAGAGTTTGTGCAAGCGTGTCCGTCGGAGCTGGGCGTCCCCACTGGCCTGGAGCCCCTCTTGAAGCAGCTGCTCTGTCACTGCAGCCTGGTCCCTCTCCAGCTGGTGGCTCTTCCGTTCTTCTGCATACATGTCTCTGGCCTTCTGCTAGAGAAAAGTGGGATTTGGGGTAGGGAGATCATTTTAGGTGTGGGTGGAACTGGATGGAGGAGGTGGGGTGGGGCTCAGGGTGGGTCAATGAAGGAGTTTGTTCTAGTTTTGCTAAGGTTTGGGAGGAGGTGTGCAGTGGGCAGTGCCCACATTGTACAGACATGGCAGTGGCAGTTGTGGTTTCATCTTAGTTTGTGTGGAAGCATCTCGATTCCTTAAAATTGTCAGGCTTGTACTTGGAAATGAACCACGTAAATGTGGGTCTGACTTCTGATTTCCCTACTAACTAGCTACGTAGCTTTAGGCAAATCCTCTCCTAACCTCATTTCTTCATTTGTAAAGTGGGAGTTGTGCTACCTTCAAGAGTGGTTTTAAGGATTAGAGATAATATATGCAAAATCCTATCATATTAGCAGGCTCTCAGACAGAAACAGCAATTTTACATGTTATTATTGTCTATTTTCTGCTGTAGGGAAGGTCCTATCCCTGTCCATGGCACTATTCATCAGGTCACTTCCTGTGTTCTCCCAAGTTATTCTGAGGGTACTATCCTTCCGATTCCCTGAACTATTTTCAGGGTTCAGCTCTCATCTACCTCCTGCATGGAGACAGGCCTGACTCTCCCAGCAAAGGCCCCTCTCATGAACACCCTAAGAAACAGGTTCAGCTCCCTTAAACCGCTTACTGTATCTGTCTAGAACAGGCGTTAAGTGTCCACAGTCCACTTTTTTTGTTAGAAAAGCCATTGCTAAGCGTGGCAGTGTACACATGTAATTTTAGTATTCTGGGAGACTAAGGTGGGAAGAACTTAATTTTGAGCCCATCCTGGGCGACTTAATAAGATCCTGTCTCAAAATTTTATTTAATTTATTTTTTTGAGACACAGTCTCACAATGTAGCTTAGGCTGGCCCTGAACTCACTATATAGCCCAGGCTGGGCTCAAACTCATAGCAATCCTCCTGCCTCAGCCTCCCGAGTGCTGGGATTACAGGCATGTACCACCATGCCTGGCCTATCTCAAATTAAAAACAAAACAAAACAAAAAAACTTTTTAAAGCAAGGGTTGGGAGCTGGGTGCAGTGGCACACGCCTGTAATCTCAGGATGTGGGAGGCTGAGGCAGGAGTGTTGCCATGAGTTCAAGGCCAGCCTGAACTACATAGTGGGACCCTATCTCACAAAACCAAAGACAGAAAAAAAGGGGTGGGGGGCCCTAGGGCCATAGTTCAGGATAAAAACCCTGGGTTCAGTCGCCAGTACCCACCGCCCCCCCCCATGGCCCTTGAAGACTCCATAGAGTCCCCAGGGCTCTTGGTTTTTTGGGGGGTTTTTTGGTACCAGGGATCAAACTTGGGACTTTGCACTTGTGAGGCAGGCAGTGGGACCACTGAGCTAAATCCCCGGCCCACCCAGGGCTCTTGGAACTAGCTCTGACACCAGCTGGCAATCCTATTCCCTCGCAGCACACTTCTCAGACCTGTGTGTCTCCAGATAAACCAAGAACTCCTTGGGCTGGGGATGTGGCTCAGTGGTAGAGCTCTTGCCTTGCACAAGGTACTAGGTTCGATCCCCAGCACCACTAAAAACAACAAAATCATGAACTCCTAGAGGGCAGAGACTGCTTTTTCCTCTTTGGCACTTGGGACACCCTATACATTCAATCACCTCACCATGTAATCCCAGAGTGTAAGGGAGGATGTGGCAGGCAGAAAAAGGGGGAAATCCCTCTGGAGTAGAACCAGAACCTGGCTGTGCATCACTGGTTGCTGCCAGTCTGTCTGACCCACAGAGCCTTTACACTAGAGCTCCTTCTGCTAAGCCTATTCCCTAAGTGAGCAACTAGGTTCTCCTATAGCAAGGCTGGCAAACCCATGGCATGAGTGCTGCAGCGGGCTGTTTGTATCACTGAAAGCTCTAAAAAGTTTACCATCACTGGCCTATAGACTATCCATAGGTATCTTATACCCCAATGACCTTGCCACATTCTACCCTGTGTTATGAAACCTTGCATTCATGGCTTTGTCCCAATTAGCCTTGAATGCCTGCATCCTTTAAAGAATGACCTGCATGCCAGGAATGGTGGCACACAGTTGTAATCCTAGCACTCAGGAGGCTGAGGCAGGAGGATCACCATGAATTCAAGGCCAGCCGGGGCTACATAGTGAATTCAAGACCAGCCTGAACTGCATAGTGACACCCTGTCTCAACACCCCACCCCCACAAAACAATGACATCCGTGTGTACAAGCACTTTGTTGTCCCACTTGACCCTCACAATGGAGCTATGAGGGAGGTACTAACTGTTGTTGGAGGTTCAGAGAAATGGTATGCTAAGGTCTCTTAACAGTAAAGTCTACTGTATGAATTGAAGATGACAAAGGAGAAGTCTAGACTCTTCTTCCTGTAGGTTCTTGAGCAGTCTTAGTTAACACTACAGACATGAGCAGTTGCTCTATAGCTCTCCATCTCACTGGAAGGGCTTCTTCATGGCCTTGGTCAGAAGGAACCGTGGGTACTATGTACAAGACTGTTGGGGCTATGGAGTGGTACAGGACACAGTCCCAGAAATCTGGGTGCTCATGGTAATTTGGACACTGCCACCTATACAGAGTAACACAGGATAGAATGTAGAAGAAGTCATCAGGGAGGCAAAAGGACATGCAAACACAGAAGAGAAAACAGTTGTGGTGAGTGAAGGACAAGGAGCAGTGAAATGTCATAGGCAGAATTTGAGCTGCCCTTTAACCAATGGGCAGGTGGGGTGTATGGAGGGAAGAGCACATTCTGGTAGTGGAAAAAAAGGGAAAAGTAACATGAAATGGAAGAGCTTGCTTAGACCAGAGCAAGTCTGGTTGGAGTACTGAGGTCTGAGGAATACTCACCCCTCTAAGGCTAAATCTTACCCTACAAATGGAGATGGCTGGGTGACTACTGGAGACAGTCATGGTGCTTCAGATAGCAAAGTCTGATCCCTAGCAACTGACACCTGGGCCTTTCATCCTGGTAAGCTCCTCTAGGTTCAGAGCCAAGCTCCCTGGCCTCTGCCTTGGATTCCTGTGGAGAACACAGACACACTTGGCCGGGCCTAGAGACAGAGCAGCTGAGACTTGGACAATGGGAACTTGGGCGATGAGGCAAGAGCACAGACATGGAAATAGAAAAGTAGAGAGTATGGAACAAGGAAATGTGAAGAGCTGGCTGTGGTGGTAACACCCCTGTACTCGGAGCACTTGGGAGGCTGAGGCAGGAGGATTGCCACAAGTTTGAGGCCAGCCTGGGCTACATAGTGAGATCAAGGCCAGCGTGAGCTACCTAGCAAGACCCTATCTCAAAAATCAAAAGAAAAAAAAAGCGAAGAGTCCAGTTCGCCCATAATACTGGGTATATAAATAAGAAAAGAGAAAAAAAGGTGGAAAAGATCTTTCTGGCCTCACGCCAGACAGATGAAAATGTTGTTAGTCTAGAATCTACCTTTAGTGCTCCTGCTGAAGTACAAAGATTTCTAGAAACAGAGCTATGAGGGCTCCTAGATAAAGAAGGCCAAGCCAGGGCACCCACGGATCCCTGCTGGAAAAGGCCTTCAGGATGCTCAATGTCTCTGTTACTTTGTTTCCTGACTCTGGGGACAATAACAATAGTATCTACCTTAAAACACTTCATAGAAACTGTGTAAAGATGCCTAGAAGAGCTCAATAAAGATCCCCATTTGATTCATGGGTACAAACAAAATGGATCTCTCATTGTCTCTCTCTCTCTGGTGGTCCTGGGAATTGAACCTAGGGCTTTTGCACTAAGCTACATACCTAGTACCCCTGCTTTGAGACAAAGTCTCTTGAAGTTATTAAATTGCCCAGGCTGGGCTTAAACTTGTGATTCTCCTGCCTCCACCTCCCAAAGTGCTGATTACAGGTGTGCACCACCATGCCTGGCTACAAAATGGAACTTACTTTTTTGGTACTGGGGATTGAACTCGGGACCTTGTGCTTGTGAGGCAGGCAGCGGAACCACTGAGCTAAATCACCAGCCCCAAAATGGAACTCTTTTTTTTTTTTTTTTTAAATGGAACTCTTAATAGTTGTCTCAAACACTTTCCACCCATCCCAGGAAACAGCAAAACCATCTATCCAACTGCTCAGTCCAAAACTTGGTTCCTAATAAAACTTGGTTCCTAATAATGTTGGTGTTTGTATTTATTTGCTTTATCTTACTTTATCCTGATTTATTTATAAATCTTTTTTCTTTGTTTGGCTTTTTCTGCATGCTTTTTTTTTTTTGGTACCAGGGATGGAACTCAGGTCCTCGTGCTTGCAAGGTAGGCAGCAGAACCACTGAGATAAATCCCCAGCCCTTTTGTTTGGCTTTTTGGGACAGGTCTCCCTTGCTCTGTAATTCAGGTTGGCCTTGAACTCATGGCAATCCTGGCTCACCCTGCCAAGTGCTGGGATCACAGACCTGTGCCACCACACCTGGGTAAAAGAAGTTTCAAAATTATATTATCAACACACCACTAGCAATAGGTCTCAGTAGTGTTTAAATCTGCTTTCTAGTTTGCATTATTACCCTTAAAACAGATTCCACTAAAAATGTATAGTCTAAGAATTGTGTTCAGGAAATCTAAATTTTTTACATTTTCTGGGGGATTACGATATTACCTTGATATAGTTTCATTTGCTTTTTTTTTGGTACCTGGGATCAAACTCGGGTCTTTGCGCTTGCAAGGCAGGCGGTGGAACCACTGAGCTAAATCCTCGGCCCTCATTTGCTTTTATTTTAACATTTGTTTCATCACTTACCTTCAGTCCTACCCTGCTCAATTGCCACTACCCTATCTCGAGGTACATCCTTTCTCACTTTCGATATGGCAAGAATTTTATTTCTTGGCTCTGCCTCAAGGTCCTGATTGTTTTTGTTTTTTGTGCTGGGGACTAAGTCAGGTAATTTACACAAGCAATCTCCCATTGAGCTATAGCTCCAGTGCTTTGAAAAATTTTATTTTGGGGGCTGAAGATTTAGCTCAGTGGTTCCGCTGCCTGCCTCCCAAGTACAAGGTCCCAAGTTTGATCCCCAGTACCAAAAAACAAAACAAAACAATTTTATTTTTGAGGGCCAGGAATATGGCTCAGAGGCACAGCATCTGCCTGGCAAGCTCGAGGCCCTGAGTTCCATTCCCGGTACCAAAAAGAGAAAAAAAAAATTTTATTTTTATTTATTTATTTTTGCTTAAATTCTTTTATTGGTACATTTTAGGTATACAATACTCTTACATTTATCATTGGGTGCTTGTACCTGTACATGATGTATCTTGGTTCTTATTTTTTTCCCCATTAAAATTTTTATTTTAGGCTGGGGATTTAGCTCAGTGGTTCCACCGCCTGCCTCACAGGCGCAAGGTCCCGAGTTTGATCCCCGGTACCAAAAAAAAAAAAAAAAAAAAATTTTATTTTTGAGATCACTAAATTACTTGGGCTGGCTTCAAACTTGTAATCTTCTTGCCTCAGCCTCCTGAGCAACTGGGTTGACAGGTGTGCACCACCACGTCTGGCTCCTGAGTGATTTTTACCAAATGCCAATCAGGTCCAGCCATTCCCCTATTAGTCCTTCAGTTTTGTTACCATGACCCACCAAGCTCTTCAGGAACAGAGGCCTGTTCCCCTCAGGGTCATCTCATCCCTCTCCCTTCAGGCATACTGGCATTTTGTTTTATCTTACAAAATCCAAACTTTATATTCTTGGTATCCTTGGCCTCTTTCATTACCTTCTAGCACATCAATTTGTATTATTTTATTGCCTCATTATAATTAAAAATTATCTTACATATTTTTTGTTTACTGTCTACTTAACCAAAAATATAAGCTCCATGAAGGCAGTGATCTTGTCTGACTGGCTAGCAGCTCATCCTCCTATACCTAACACTGTGCCTGAGTCACATACTAGGGACTCAATAAACATTTATGGAATGGATGAAACCTGAGGTGATTCCACTGACAGGATGTACAAAATGAGAAATTTGGAATTACTATAAGCCTCTTGGGCAGCCAAATTACAGACCCATACACATGCAGAGCCATAAAAGCCCATGCGGCTAGCACCTCTGGGTTTCAGGCAGAGTCACTGTGGTCTTACTTTACACATCCAGTTCTAACATGCTTGATTAGCTGGTTTCTTTGACTATAACAGCTGATTTAAAATAGTAAACAGGAAGAGGGATGATGCCAAAATTAGCCATTGACAACAGTAAGAAATGAAAGAGGGAAGACACAGAAAAATATACAAGAAAGCCAGGTGTGGTGGTGCATGCCTGTAATCCCAGCACTCTGAGAGGCTGAGGTAAGAGGATCACAAGTTTGAGCCCAGCTTGGGCAACTTAGCTAGACCCTGTCTTTAAAAAATTAATTAATTAATTAAAAGGTCTGGGGGGCTGGGGATTTAGCTTAGTGGTGCTGCCACCTGCCTCAAAAGCGCAGGATCCCGAGTTCGATCCCCAGTACCACACACACACACACACAAAAAGTCTGGGGAACATAGCTCAGTGTGAAGGCTCCTGTGTTAAAAAGAAAAAAAAAAATTAAAGATATCCTAAAGCTAGGTATTTGGGGACCATTTAACTCAGAGTAAACAGCTCTACTATTCAAGGTCATGGCTGTACAAAGAAGTGTTTAAAGATGGTAGATTCCAATATAATTATCATCATCATTAGAAAGTGATTATTCTAATCATCATGATTATTAGCAAGTGCCTAGTATAGAGTAGGTGTTGATGAATTATGTACAAGATCCATTCCAGAAAGTTTTCCATCAAAAGGGTAAAAAAATTTTAATTCTTAGGGGCAGCTTTGATTATGTGGAAAAATCTGATACTCATTCCTGACAGTAAAAATTGAAGATTTGCTATTTTTCTTTTCACTTGTTCTAATCATATTTCAGTTTCTTCATATTCTGACCTATGACCAAGAAGATTGAGAAGTCCTAACTTACACCATTATTTCTTTGTGGCCATTATCACTCTAAACTTAAGAAACAAAAAGTGAAGCAAGAAATAGCAACCAGGAATGATGGTGCATTATCTATAATCCCACCATTCTGGGAGGATGAGGCAAGAGGACTGTATGGCCTTGGCAACTTAAGTAATTAGTGAGACCCTGTCTCATGATAAAAAGGACAGGGGATGTAGCTCAATGTGAAGGCCCTGGGTTCAACTTCCAATACCAAAGGGGGGAAAAAGCAGCTTCAGGTTTCATAGCTGGGCTTAACGGTATTTACCTATAATCCTACACTCTGAGAAACTGACACAGGAAGATGTGAAGTTTGAGCTTAGCCTAGGTAACTTATTGACAAAAGGAGACTCCTGTCTCAAAATTTAAAAAACATAAAGATAAAAATAAGTTACGTTAAATTAAATTTAGGTTCCTAATTCTGTGGGCTTGGGACAATTACTTATTCTCTTTGCCATTCTGCTCTCATATCTGAAAAGTAAAAACCTGCTGGGTTATTAAGTAAAATAAGGAAATGTACATGAAGTAGCCATGTACTTAGTATGTTAGCCACACCACCTACACCACTATTACTATTTATGCTCATCAGATGCAGGTGACTGCCTCTTAATGAAAACTGTTTCAAGATTTGGTAATCAAAATTGAAAGTAGAAAATAATTTTACAAAACTGAAAGATAATACTATTTTATTCTTAATCCTTTCAGTAAGAGACTTGGGTTTTGTATATTTCCACTGTTACAAACCCCCACCCAATACCACCCCTACCACTGAGACCTAAATCCAGCACCTTTGGACTGAGTTACATCCCCTGACCATTTTGTATATACATTTTGTTTGTTTGAGACAGGGTCTTGCTATGTAGTTCAGGCTGGCCTTGAATTCACTATGATCCTATCTCACACCCTCCCAAGTGCTGGGGTTACAGGCATGCGCGACCACATACAGCATGTATATACAGTATTTTGAGACAGGGCCATGCTAAATTGTTAAATTGCCCAGGCAGGGCTAGAACTGGTAATCCTCCTGCCTCAGCCTCCCAGTGTTGGGATTATAGGCATGTGCCCCATGCCTCTTTTTTTTTTTTTTTTTTGAGACAGTGTCTTGCTGTGTTGCCCAGGGCTCCCTTTAATTTCCACTATTTTGCCTCAGCTTCTTAAGTAGCTGGGACTACACACCACTGTACCTGACTACAATCTTTGTTAGGCTAATATGTGGTAGTACATGCCTGTAATCCCAGCACTCTGAGGCTGAAGCAGGAGGATCATGAGTTTGAGGCCAGCCTGGGCTACATAGTGAGTTCAAGGCCAGCCTGAACTACATATTAAGAGCCTGTCTCAAAAAAAAAAAAAAAAAAAGAAAAGAAAAAGAAAAAACAATTTCTCTGACAAGGCTTTTCCTTAATCTTTAGGGGATAAAAGACTTATACTGACTCCCATCTCCCTCCCTGCCCCCTTAGGTACTGGGGATTAATTAAACCCAGGACCTTTACACTGAGCTACATCTCTAACCCCCTACCTCCCACTTTTCTCCCTTTTTTGGTGTTTTGAGATAGGGTCTCACTTTGGGGTTTTTTTGTTTGTTTTTTAAGTTTTTTGAGACAGGGTCTTGCTATATACTTCCAGCTAGCCTTGAACTCACTATGTAACTTATGCTGGCCTCAAACTTGGGAGGGATCCCCCTGCCTCAGCCTTCCAAGTGCTGGGATTATAAGCGTGCACTACCACACCTGGCAGCATCTAGGCTGGCCTTCAACTCACAGTGATCCTCTTGCCTCAAGCATGTGCCACCACACCCAGCTTTTTCTTATTTTTCATTTTGAGATTGGGTCTTTATTAAGTCACTAAATTGCTTAGGTCAGGCTAGAACTTGTGATCTTCCTGCTTCAGCCTCCCAGAGGGCTGGGATTATCTGTATTTACCAACATGCCCAGCTTCCCACTCCCATCTCTTATTGGTTTTATGCCCTTGACTTGATCATTCCTCTTTTATTTACTCATTTGTATAAGAGGAGTTAATAAGACCTACTCATTAGGTTCTTGGGAGCATTAAATGAGATTCTGTGCATTACATGTTCACAGTCCCTGACACAGAGCAAATGCTTGGCAAGTGGCAGCTACTGTTATCATTGTTATCATTACCATGCTTGTCAGGAATTACAGCAAGGTGTCAATCCATACTAACCTCCTCTTCTATACCATCCAGTCAAGCTGACCTTGAGCTCTTACCTGAAGCACGTTGTGGTTCATCTGGTACTGCAGGATAGCCTCACAAAGGTTCCAAAATGTGTATTCTGGCCATAGAACAGGTTGGAACACTAGGCAGGAATGGGAGGTCTGGGAACAATAGAGAAGGAAGAAGGTGTAGTTTAATAACACGTTTCTGGGCCACACTGCTGGTCAGTTCTCCAATGCAGGAGCAGGAAGAATCCCAGAAATGAGACAGCACAGCCATCCTGTGCAGCAGCTGTTTCCGCAGCTAAACCTGATTTCCTCATGGATGGTGGAGGAGTCACTTGGGGCAGTTAGATCACCTGCCTGTGGCAAATCCGGACTAAAATGAGACTAGATCATTATTTCCACCCCAATTTTTCTCAGAGCCAATTTTAGGACTATGAAGTAACATCTGGATTATGTTATTGGCTCTTGGCCCTTTGAGGTCATCTGAGACACACAGTTGATAAAAGTCAGCAATGAGGGCCGGGGATTTAGCTCAGTGGTTTCGCTGCCTGCTGTGCAAGTGGAAGGACCTGAGTTCGATCCCCGGTACCAAAAAAAAAAAAAAGTCAGCAATGAACAAATGGTAGTTGCTATTGTTATTTTTAAGTAGCAGCAGTACGGCACTGTGATTACATTCATAGATTCTGGAGCTAGAGTGCCTGGCTCTGAATTTTGGCTCTGTGATTTATCATCTATTTGACTTGGGGTGAGTTATTTAACCTTTTCGGGCCTTAGTTTCCTCGAGTATGTGACTGGATAATAGTTCTAGGGTACTATGAAGATTAAATGTACATGAAGTAAAACACAGCATGGTGAACTTGAATAATAATCACAGATCCCTTTTTGAGTACTTTTTTGGGGCCATGGTGGGGATCAAACTCAGGGCTTCATACATGCTAGGCAAGTGCTCTACCACTGAGTCTCAGCCCCAGCCCCTGGCACACTTGTGATAGCCACTGCCTGATACTGTTTGTGGTAATGAATTCAATGTCTCTTGTAGGATAATTTTAGTTGTCAAAGAGCTTGCTGTGCTAAACCAACATCACCTTCCCACAGTTCCCACAGGGTCCCATATATTTTCTCTGGGACAAGTTTGTTTATTCAAGTGACATTCTTCCAAATATTTGAAGGTTAGAATAGAGTTGCCCATTATCTGTTCTTAAGGTTGTAATAACTCCTTTGTTTTCTCTGGAGGGATCACTGCTGACTTGGTCACTGCCATATTTATAACACAAAGGAGAAACTCAACATTTTTTTTCTGAAATAATGAACTGTCACATTTTCCAGACCACTAATCTGCTTTCTTTCTGAGACATGAGATTCCTTGCTATCTAAGTTGCCTCTTCCAGCAAGTCCTCTACTTTAACAGTGTTGTCTCTTTAAACTCAATGTCCAAAGTAAATTTTTCAAATGTGACTCAGTGGCACAGTGAGTCACAGAACCACTCGGTACAGGCAGGTGTAGTGGTCTAAGCCTATAATCCTAGTACTCAGGAGGCTGAGAAAGCAGGATTGTCTCCAGTTTGAGGCCAGCCTGGGCTACAGAGGAAGTTCAAGGATAGCCTGAGCTACATAGCATGATGCTGTCTCAAAACCAAAACAAAACAAAACAAAACAACCCACTGGGTGCATATTATACTTCCTTCAATGTAGCCAGCAACTGAAAATATCTTCAGTAGCTAATTATTAGTTCACTTTTAAGACTGTGGCCCATTAAAACTTAGACTTCTAAGGTAAATCTCCCACCAACCTCTTCTTTTTCTCTTTTTGGTGGCATTGGGGATTGAACTCAGGGTGTTTGCACTGGGCTACAGTCCCAGCCCTTTTATTATTTTTGATTTTGAGACAAGGTCTCACTAAGTCACTAAGTGGCCCAGGCTGGGCTTGACTTGAGAGCCTCCTACCTCAGCCGACCAGCGTGCTAGGATTACAGGTATGTGTCATCACACCTGGCTAACCTCTTCTGTTTTATTTATTTATTTATTTATTTAGGTACTGGGGATCAAACTCGGGTCCTTGCACTTGCGCTGCAGGCAGCAAAACCACTGAGCTAAATCCCTGGCCCTGTGTTTTGTTTTTTAGAGACAGGGTCTCACTAGATAGTCTAGGCTCGCCTTGAACTCATGGTGATCCTCCTGCCTCAGCTTTCCAAGTGAGTGCAATTACAGGTGTGTACCACCATGCCCAGCTTCTGGCTAAACCTCTTCTTTTTTTCCTAGTACCGAGGATCAAACTCAGGACCTTGTGCTTGCAAGGCAGCCGTGGTGCCACTGAGCTAAATCCCCAGCCCTAAACATCTTCTTATACAAGGACTTCCCCTTGTCATGTGCTATCCAGGGGCCAGTGAACAGGAAGTAGAGATTTTTAAGCAAAAACAAACTTAACAGCATATCAACATTATAGAGACAACCTACACTGGAGTAACTGAGCTAAGAGGAAACAGCAAACCCTTGAGAGTGTACAACTACTTTAGATTCCCCATAGACCCCACACAGACCACACATTTACATCAATGGCAGTCCTTTTGCTGAATTAGAGGCTAGTAATTGAAAGGAAGGTTCTAGCCTCGAGGTGCTAAGGTAGTTGACAGCTTACCAAAGTTTCACCACAGTTGGAGAGCCTTTATTCTCCTTCTAAGCTGGATTTCCTATACTTTAGAAAGTAAGAAGCACATAGGTTTGCAAAGCCAAGGTCAGATGAGAAAGGGAAAGCAACGACTATCTCCAGATTTTAGCTCCCTGCCCCAAGTTCTTTGGTCCCAGCATGGTTGAGTGGGGATGGACCACTCTGTGGGTATATCCAGTGTTGAGTCTGACATAAACATCATAGTGTTTGGAAACTACCTACCTGCCAGAGTAAGAAGTCACTCAGCCGCACTTCTCCAGAAGTCCGTATCAAGATGTCAGGATGAGGAGAGTGATGGGTGTAGAGGCATTTATCAAGCAGACACTCAGAGACATCACTAAAGTAAGCAGGAGATGAAGAGAAGCATATGTCTCTTTCTGCAGTACTCCTTTGGTGAATATCCACACATAATGCACCTCAGTTTATAAAACACCATCAAATATATTCACCAATACTAGTTGGTGCAAAGAAGGCCCTCTATAAACATTTATTAAATTCACAAATGATTTTTTAAAATTTCATTTTGTGGGTTTTTTGCAGTTGTGGGGACTGAACCCAGGAATTCACATATGCTAGGCAATTGCTCTACCACTGAGCTACATCCCTAGCCCCAGGAATGATTATAAACTTCTCAACTACATAAGGTATTTCCATCTTTATTTTATAGATAAAAAGAGGAGGCTAAGGGCTGGGGATTTAGCTCAGCGTCACCACACCTGCCTTGTAAGCCCAAGGTACTGAGTTCAATCCCTGGTATCAAGGAAAAAAAAAAAAGATAGGAGACTCAAAAAAGATAAATAATTTGTGCAAGGTCATATAGCTGCATGCCAAAAACCAGAACCACCATTATAATGTGTTGTCTCTATCCAGGAAACCCCCACCTGAGCCTGGCAGTACATACCTGTAATTCCTACTTTACATGAGCATTAAATTAGACTATGAATGATACACTTAGCTCAATGCCTACCTCATAATTAGATCCAGTAAATATTAATTATTAATTTTGATTGTTATGATGACTTCTTGTTAATTTCAACTCTCCTGTGCTGCAGTCAGTATATCACAATGACTGAGAACACAGGATCTGGCACTAAGTTTGCCAATTATTCTTTTTTTCTTTTTTTTTCTGGTACCGGGGATCGAACTCAGGACCTTGAGCTTGCAAGGCAGGCTGTAGAACCACTGAGCTAAATCCCTGGCCCTAAGTTTGCCAATTATGTAAACTCAGACAAGTTTCTTTCCCTCCGTCTCAGTATTCTGATCTTTAAAATGGAGACAAAAATAGTATTAACAGGGGCCGGGGATTTAGCTCAGTGGTTCTGCCTCCTGCCTTGCAAGCGCAAGGTCCTGAGTTCGATCCCCAGTACCAAAAGAAAAAAAAAAAAAAGTATTAACAGTACTGTATAAAGTGTAAGGATTAAATGCATATGGAGTACTTACTAAATATTTGCATAGAGTAAATGGTCAGTAAATGTTGGCGGTCACTATTATTGTTATTATTATCATCACTATTTTATAAGGAGGACAGACCTACAGGTGTCCTGTCAAGTGACCTGTTCAACATAAAACAGTGGGGAAAAGTTTATTGCCCTTCAGGTTCAATCTTATTCCTTCTTCAATAACTCCAAACTCACAAAACAATCTATTAATTTGTGAGAGAAAAAAAACACCCTGGAAGAAAGCAAAAGGAGGAGCTAAATGATGGCAATGGGACAACAGCAAAGTCCAGACTACATAGAGCCTAACAGTAATAATTCACTGACTTCCTGACATAAATGTAGATTTGTCTAGGGCCAGGGATTTAGCTCAGTGGTTCCGCCGCCTGTCTCGAAAGCACAAGGTCCTGAGTTCCATCCCTGATGGCAAAAAAAAAAAAGTAGATTTGTCTAAATTTGAATAACGTACAGAATACTGCCTCAGGCCTGATGAGCCCATCCTGAGTTGCTGCACATCAAGCTGCAGGCTATAGTGGGTTGAGACATCAGCCTCTTGACCCTGGTGATCTTGCCCAGCCCACACACTGCCTGCATGAGAACCCCACAGAGGCAAGTAATTAAATGAAGCAAGGCAGAGAAGAGGGATGAGGAAAAAACCACTGGACCAGAAGTAGGAGGTAAGGTCAGTGGATACCACAGTGTGGTGTGAGGGTAAAGTATGCTGGGTCAGGCATCAAGATCAGAGTTCTAGAAGTCCTGGGCATGAATGCATATTAAATCTGGTTGTTAAAGAGCTTGCTTGTTTATGCTTATTTCTACCATAAATACATATCCGTTTTTATTCTTAATACATTAAACATGTAAAAGATTATTTAAAATATATTATGAAGTACAATATAATGAACAACTATTAAGTCACTCCCAAGCTAAAAATTAGAAAATTACCATTAACTTCCATTTACTCATATATCCCTATTCTACCTCATCCTCCTGTCCCCATCCCTACTCACTTAATCAGTAACCTAAGTTTTTCCCTAAAAGCTAATTTTGACAATGTAACAGATCTGTTTATAGCATGCAACACCACTGCTACCACCATGCCCGCTCCCTCCTGACCTGCACCAAACTCCCTCTTTTCCTGGATACAGTAACATTGACTGCTGGGTTTTCTACCTTTCTGGTTGTTCACTCTCTTTTTTTTCCTTTAAGGTTCATTCCAATCTACTTAGCCAGTAAGGCAGTTTCTCAAAACTTCATCCTAGGGCCTCTCCCTTCCCAGGGAATTCTCCTTGGCATCCTCATGTCCTCCTTGCCAATCCCTGACCCTTCTTGAACTGTCGACTTGACATCTCTACTCAACATCTACAAGAGATCCAAAACCAAACTTCTGGCTCTGTTCCTTAAAGTGGATCCCAAGCACAGTAAAGAGCACCACAGTGAAGAGCACTGCTAAAAACTCTGCGGTCACTCTCAACACATCCTTTCCCCAGTCTGTCCACTGAGAGGACTGATGTCCTCTGCTTCATGGAACTTGAAGCAGTCTGCTCTATCCATTGCAGCACCACCACAATCCAGGCTCTCTTTCAGCTATTCCACTTGAACTATTCAACAGTCTTTCTGCAACCAATGAAGTCCTCACATTCCTGCCATATTTCCTACGTCCTGCTTATTCTCCCTTTTTAGGTTACTGTACTTACCATTTTCTGGGGGAAAGTCTTCCCTACAGGTCCCTTTCTCTTACTGTACCATGCACCCATGTACCGTCTTCACAGTACTTATCACCATTATAATTTTATGCTTTCTTTTAGTGATGCTGAGGATTGAACCCAGGGCCTTAGACACATTAGGTAAGCACCCTACCACTGAGGTACATCTCCAGGCCTTTTTATTTTTTTATCTTGAGACAAGTTAATGCTGTTCATGCTGGCCTTGAACTTTCAATACTCCTGCCTGAGCATTCCAAGTGCTGGGATTACCTGTATGTGCCACCATGCATGGTTTATGGTATTTGTATAATCTTAACATCTGTTTCCTCTACCAGAGTTCCACGAGGCAGAAAAATATGTATTCTTATTCTCACTACTGAATCTGTTATGGACAGAAATGTCCCTACCAAGAGATGGTACTTAAAAATACTTGTTGAAAGAATGATTGACTATTAAATATTGAAATATATGTTGAGGGCCAAGGATTTAGCTCAGTGGTTCTGGCGCCTGCCTCACAAGCCCTAGGTCCTGAGTTCGATCCCTAGTACAAAAAAAAGAAAAAGAAAAAGAAATATTTGTTTCTGTTTTTGTTTTGTTTTTTTTGGTACCGGGGATCGAACTCTGGTCCTTGCTCTTGCGAAGCAGGCAGTGGAACCACTGAGCTAAATCCCCGGCCCAGAAATACTTGTTGAAATGACTGACTATTCAATATTTGTTGAAAGAATGATTGATGAACTATGGCACAGAAAGATCACCCAGCTGTTGGGGAGGAAAGGAAACAGTCTTTAAAACTATCTTCTTTACTTATCTTTTCCATTTTCACCAAGCAACTTCTTGGTTTTCTGCAGTGCTGGAGATCAAGTGCAGGCTTTGTACATGTTAGGCAAACACTCTAGTACTGAGCTGCATTCCCAGGCCTAATTTCTTGATTTTTAATCTAGTTTTCAGCCAAGTGAATTAAATTCAAGAATGGAATCAGAAAAATCCCTGGGTCCCAAGATCTCATGTAATAGATAAAAGATAAGAACTCTGGAATCAGAGATCTTGAAATATGAGCCCCACCTTGGCACTTGCTAGTGAATGACCTTGGGTAAGTTACTTGAATGCTCTCAGTTTTCTCATCTATAAAATGGACAAAAGACTTGACTCTCTCACACATGACATTAATGACTTAGTAAAATACAGAATATAACACACTGCCTTGGGTTTTTTTGCTACTATCATTTTATTATTGCTATTAAGTTTATTAATATTATTACTAGAAGTTACACTAGTAATAACATGAAAGGGACAAAACAGACAGATGACATAAATTATCTCCCACCTCTAATTATTAGAGTTCCACTTTATTGGTAATGATTAAAATTTTTCTTTTTTTGAAAAATACCTTAATCATCTGTGAAACTGTAACATGATATATCTAAAAGCCTCTTCCAGCCACAAAGTGCACTCCTGAAAAAATCATCTTTGTATGTGGCATGGGGGGGTGGTGTTATGGTTTGCTGTACACCTCTTCTATCAATTACCACAAGAAACAACCTGGGATACCTTGGATCCAGCAGCCCTTGCTCCACTCCCCAAGCCATCTCTTTCACAGCACTGGTGATCTCATGACGGGATGTGTATGCAAAGCAGACATTCAGGAAACACCTGAGAAGGGCAGAACAGAATAATTTATCAAACAGCCACAGCAACTGATGACTGGAGTCCCTGATTACAGAGTAGCCGCTTCCTGGAAAGATATACAAACAAAATGCTAACTGTATAACTCAGAAGATGAGTTTTTTTTATTATTTCCAAGATTTCTTGGAAGAAACATGCCGTTAATTTTAAAATAAGACACTCTACTAAACTGCCTTTACTGTCCTCCTGACCCTCTCCCCTCCTACTGTCAATCAGCTTACAGAGAATGTGAACCTGCTGTGAATCTAGCATATACAAAGGAGATATGGGGCTGGGGATTTAGCTCAGTGGTTTCACCGCTTGCTGTGCAAGTGCAAGGACCCGAGTTCAATCCCCAGTACCAAAAAAACAAACAAAAAAACAAAAAACAAAGGAGATATGACACAAAACAAATTCAATGTCAAACACATATTATATTCCAAAGCTACACACAGTCAAATCTGGATTACTGACTTACATTCCTGTCTGCATTTGTCTGATCTCCCAAAGAAAAATAATTTCTTGAAGGATCTGTTTTCAAAAAAAAACAAGATGGAGGGCCAGGGATATAGCTCAGTGGCGCTGCACCTGCCTGGCAAGCGCAAGCTCCTGAGTTCAATTATGGTACCAAAAAAAATAAAAATAAAAATAAGATGGCTGGGCTGGGGATTTAGCTCAGTGGTTCCGCCACCTGCCTTGAAAGCACAAGGACCTGAGTTCGATCCCTAGTACAAAAAAAAAAAAGATGGCTACTGCATTTCCATCTGAACCCTCGTCAAGTTAAAAAATATGTGCATGCATGTGTAAATACCAAATAGTTTCTCTAGTATGAGAAACTGAAAGTGTAAATAAGGATTAAAATGAATAATTGATACTTTGAAATAGGAAAAGGTCCAAAGGGGTAGGGGTGGTGGGAGGGGAAGGGGAAAGAAAAGGGAAAGGAAAAATCATGAGAAAAGAAAAAAAATGGAAATGAAGTCTATGTAAATAGGGAAGGGTGGAGGGGGTGAAGGGCACACAGGTAATGGGGGAGAAAATAAGAACCAAGATACATTAGGTACAGGTACAAGCACCCAATGATAAATGTAAACGTATTGTATACCTAAAATGTACCAATAAAAGAATTTAAGGAAAAACAATACGTGTGTGGATATGTGCATAAAACTTTGGGATGGGGTGGGTAAAGGATAAGAAAGTGTGTCTGTATTTTTGTTTTGGTTTTTGATACCAGGGATCGAACTCAGGACCTTGCACTTGTGAGGCAGGCAGCACCACCACTGAGCTAAATCCCAGGCCCTGTTTTGTTTTTTAGAGATAGGGTCTCACTGTATAGTCCAGGCTGGCCTTGAACTCACCATGTACCCCAAGCTGGCCTCCAACTCACCGTGATCCTTTGTCTCAGCCTCCTGAGTGCTGAGATTACAGGTATGTGCCACCATGCCTGGCAAGAAAGTGTGTCTACCTTTGAGTAAACACAGATATAACATGGTATTGAAATAAGAGCTCTGGTCTGCCCTACAAAAAGAAGCAAGTCTGTAAGCATCCCAAACTATCCCCTCATTGCCCATTATACAAAATGCAGACCAAGGAAGGCTCAGGACGGTTCCATAAAACTAGCAGGGAGTCAAAGATTGACAGTAGGAAATCTGGGAACTTACTTGTTGTAGTTCTTAGTGGCCTGTACAGCTTGTGCAATCAATTCCTGGAGGTCCAAGGGCAATAAATGCAGATCTCCCAGGACCCGGACACACACCCCATACTTCTGCAGCTTCTCCCTGGTAAGAAAAATGAAGGCAGTATTGGGACACAACTGGCGAGGGAAAGATGCTCAGATAATAATCAACTACCTGTTTGAGTGCTTTCCTGTGTCTGGCACAGTATTATGCATGTTATTTCTCTGCACCCCTTCAACAGCTCTAAAAGGAGTTTATTAGAGCATTGAGCTCAGACAGGACAGTCAGATAAAGACATCTAAGATCACACTGTCATCATGCTGGGTCTGGATTGAACCCCAGATCTGTCTGTATTGAAAACCTAAGCTCCTGGCTGAAGGGAGGGCAGGGGAATGGGGAAAAACATAAGAATCAAGATAAGAGTATATGTAAAGGTGCAAACTCCCGAAATTGAATGTCATTATATTGTATAACTAAAATGTACCAATAAAATTAAAAAAACAAAACAAAAAACCTAAACTCTTGTCAGGCACGGTGGCACACGCCTGTAATCCCGGCACTCAGGAGGCTGAGGCAGGAGGATCACCATGATTTGGAGGACAGCCTGGGCTACATAGTGAGTTCAAAGCCAGCCTGGACTACACAGCAAGACCCTGTCTCAAAAAAAATAAGAAAATCTAAGCTTCTGACTACACATTATATACCACCATAAGTGTCCCTGTTGCTGGGTTGCATTCTACATATTCTGTGATATGTCTGCCCCACTTGGACAAACAAGTAAACTGCTCAAAGGCAGGAGTTGTATCATTGGTGTTTTTCGTTATGCTCTGATGAAATATAGTGATGACAGTGACAGCTAGCCATGGTGGTACACAACTGTAATCCTAGCACTTGGGAGGCTGAGCCAACAGGATCATCATGAGTTTGAGGCCAGAATGGGCTACATGGTAAGTTCAAGGCCAACCTGAATTACATAGCAAGACCCTGTCTCAAAAAAATAAAAAATATCCGCTGCCTGCCTTGCAAGTGCAAGGTCCCAAATTTGATCCCCAGTACCAAAAAAGAAAAAAAAAAATCGAAACAGCTAACGTTATGTTTCCTAGGTACCAAATAGTAGCCTAAGTGCTTTACATGTACTAACACATTTCATCCTTACACAAATCTTGAGGTACATTCTACAATTATTTCCCTTTAAAAAATGAGGAAACCAAGGCACAGGGAAATTAGGTAATTTGTTGAGACAGCTGGTAAATGGAGAGCTAGAATTTGAACCTGGGGAATATGGCCATAGAACCTGTCCTTTTAATCATGATATTATAGCACTTCCATACAATTAACTCCTAATCTGCACACAGTGAAAATGAATTCACTGCATTGCTACACAGCTTTTCTCACTTGGGAACGCTATGTGTTATGGAGAAACTGAACACTTCATGTTTGGGAAGTGGTAATTTAATGTGGGGTAGGGGGTCTCTGGTAGGTCCCAAAGGACCCTCATCTAGAACTGAAGGCCACATGCATAGCCTATTTATTATATATAACCTTCAACCCCATTTCCTCAGAGGTTGTGAAGGAAGACCTAATCACCTATTTTTGAGAACTTACTAGAGCATACAAATGTATAGTTGACTCAAGGCCAAATCTGAATAAGAAGGGCACACCTGTAATCCCAGCACTCCAGAAGGCTGAGGAAGGAGGATCACAAGTTGAGTCCTATCTAGCAACACAGTGAGACCCTTCTCAAAATAAAAAAATAAAAAGGGGATGTAGGCCCTGGGTTCAAACCTCAGTACTGGTGCGGTGGGGGAACCCTAGATTCAAGACTTAGTACCCCACTTACTAACTGACCCTTCATAAATGCTTGGCCTTTCTGAGCTCAGTCTCTACCTGCCCTTTCCACCCTCCAAGTCTGTAAACTGAGGGTGACAATCATCCCTGCCATACTACTCAGGGGGCGTTCATCAAGTGAGACTCTTCTCAAACAACAGATGAGTACTTAGGTGAGGTCTGTAGAAAGGAAGCTGCAAAAGCCCTGGGATCTGGGTTCCCATACAGGCTCTGCCACCAGCATGCTGTGACCAGAGGCGAGAGCTTTCCTTCTCTGCACTCGGGTTTAATTTCCCAGCAAAAGAATTCAGTCCAGTGATTTTTAAGCTTTCTACCAAAGAACTCTTTCTTGAAATCAATCCTATACAATAACCTGATATATAAAATATATTTTAAAAAATGAGCATCTTATAGCCAGTGATGCTGGGTTTTTATGGGCCCAGTCTAGAACTCTGGAGTTTTGTGGGATATTGTTGGAAAAGCACCTCTGAAGTTTCTTCTTGCTCTGGCCAGGGCTTCACGACAAGACCATTTTTTCTACTATTGACTGACTAATCTAAGTAGTACCTCTATTGCCATATGTCTTCACCCTGGAAGAACTCTTGCTTCCTGTCTCTAGGTATACAGTGTAGCAGACAAGTCAGCCATGGAGTCAGAAAGATCCAGTGGTATATACTGTAGCTCCACCTGTTTGATAACTGTGATCCAAGATATATGCCTTAACTTCTCTGCCTTTTACTTTCTTCCTCTCTAGTTTTGGGCTAATATTTGTTTCTCATAGGATAATGTGACTATTGAATGAGAATACATTTTAGGCTAAGGGCATGGCACATAGGTGCCTGGCAAAAAGATCACTGTGCACTTTTTTATTTTTTGGTACCAGGGCTCGAACTCAGGACCTTGCAATTGTGAGACAGGCGCTGGGAACCACTGAGCTAAATCCCCAGCCCTCTTACCTTTTAAAAGTGCACAATAGGGGCTGGGGATTTAGCTCAGTGGTTTCGCTGCTTGCTGTGAGAGCACAAGGACCTGAGTTCGATACCCGGTACCAAAAATAAATAAATAAATTAAAGTCCACAATAGAGCTGGGGATTTAGCTCAGTGGTTCCACCACCTGCCTCACAAGCGCAAGGTCCCGAGTTTGATCCCCAGTACCAACCAAAAAAAAAAGGTAATAATTTGAAAACTTGAAAAAAAAAAAAAAGAATTTGAACACTTGAATGTGTTTTTCAGATCTTCATCCCACCACCTGGGGGTGAGCTCTGCATCACAGGGCTCTGCTAGGAACCAGGGAGCAATGTCCATGGCTCAGGATCTTACCATCCTGTGGACAGAGGAAAGCCTGGTCACCCCTACCCCTATTGCCCTGACCCATATAAAAGGACAGCAATGACAGAACCAGCTTCCTAGAAGGTCCTTCCAGGCCCTTCTCTGCTATAATGCTAGGCTCTGTTCTCTCATCTTCCTAGTCCTAGTGTAGGTAGGAGCTGGGCAGCAACAGGTGAAGTGAACACTTTTGGGCAACTCTGGCAGAAGGCTCCACAATTTGAGGCAAATGATCTCCATCAATCTTCCTTTTTGCCCTTTTTTGCCTTTGTTCCCTATGTCAAGCCTATATTCAACAATGGGTAAGAAAGGTACTGAAGCTATAGCTAAAGATGATACTGATACCTCCCCACAGAGTCTCTTATGATTATTCCACCCTTTCCAAGACTGCAGGGGGAACATAGTAACTATGCAGTAGATCTCTGTGCAACAACAAATGACTTCCTCCTGTTTCCTTCTACTTCCCTGGCCATAATTTATTGGTTCTGGGGTAGAAATTTGATCAGAGGTGGGCCAATTAAGAGATTTAGCTGACTGTGGATTGTTCCTCTGAAGGCTGCTCTGCAGAGATAGAAGGAAACAAATGTATAAAGAGACTTACATTAATTCCTGGTTTCATTTTTGAGGCTGGTTGTACTGAAATTCTGTGAAATATCTCACTACCCTCAAATGTATGCGGACAGCCCCCACCCCACCCCTGCCACAAAAAAAGGAAAGAAGTCAGTTAGTCAGTTGTGGTCACACAGAACTGTAATCCCAGCTACTCAGAAAGTTGAGGCAGGAGGACCCAAGTTTGTTTTTGTTTTTGTTTTTTTTGGTACCGGGGATCGAACTCGGGTCCCTGTGCTTGCGCAGCAGGCTGCGAAACCACTGAGCTAAATCCCCGGCCCATTTTCTTTTGACTTTATTTTATTTTATTTTTTTTTTGGTACCAGGGATCGAACACGGGGCCTTGTGCTTGCAAGGCAGGCGGCAGCACCATTGAGCTAAATCCCCGGCCCATGGAGGACCCAAGTTTGAGGCCAGCATGTACAAGTTACCAAGAACCTGTCTTAAAATTAAGGCAAACAAACAAAATAAAGCAAAAGGCTGTTGATGTAGCACAGTGGTAGAGGGCTTGTCTAGCATGTGTGAGGACTTGGAGTCAATTACTGGGGGGTAGGGGGAACAGGGAAGGAAGAGAAAAGGAGGAAAGGGAGGAAGAGAGGAGAGGGAAAGAGAAAGAAAGAAAATGAAGAAAGAATGAATGAATGAGTTGCATTTCTAATACTTGCTGCCAAAGAGTGCAAACATTAAAAGGATTGAGAATGTTATAAATAAGCCCCAGATAACAGAGCTGTGAAGGGTAGAGAATGGCTGGAAGAAGTGGAAGAACAAATTTTCTCCTTGGATAGCATCTTACTGTTCTTTCATCAAGTAGCTAAACTTCTCTCGAGCCAGATCCAGTATCCCATCAACCTCATTCTTGGAACGTTTGAAGTTCTCAATGCTGAACGCGTAGACTGTCACCTCTAGGATGCCCAGGTTCAAACACCAGCGTAGAGTCTGAGAGGGGAGAAGGCAGAGTGGGTACAAGGAGAGTGGAAAGGAAGTAAGAGATTCTTTTACCCTATTTAGAGTTGGAGGTGGAAGACTGACTTTTCTCTTATGCGAATCTGGGAAAGGCTAGGATCACATCAGCGCTTACCATCAGAATTATTAACTAAATAGAAACTGAAAAATGTGATTTCAGTGAATAGTACTATACTGATTCCATTGTGGTTTATAGCAATGTATAGTAATTTATGTGCAAATTACAGAAATAACTGTTCTTCACTAACAATGTAAAGACTCAGGTTCTAGCCCCTGATTCCATCATGTATGTGTTATGGAACAGTAGGAAAATCATTTAACCTCTTGGGACCTAAGTCTCCTTCTCACAATCCATCTCTCACTAAGTGGCTAACAAACAATATAAAAATACAAGATATTGGGCCTGAGATTTAGCTCAGTGGTTCCGTTGCCTGCCTCGCAAGCACAAGGTCCTGAGTTTGATCCCCAGTACCAAAAATACCCCAAGATATTACTAAAGCATAACTGCATTATTCTGGTAGACTAAGAGGCTGATAAGTTGTTTGTTCGTTTGTTTTAAGAGTAGGAAAAATTTATTGAGGGAAAGATAGCTTCTAAAAGAGACAGAAGGGGGACCAGAAAGTGGGCTGCCCTTGTTTGTTTGTTTGTTTTTTGAGACAGGCTCTCACTGTGTAGTTCAGGTTGACCTCCAACTCATGGCGATCCTCCTGCCTCAGCCTCCAGAGTGCTGGAATTATAGGCATCTGCCACTACACCTGGCCTTTTTTTTTTTTTTGGTACCAGGGATTGAACTCGGGTCTACACCCAGCTTTGAGGCTGATAAGAATAAAAGCAACAACTAGGTTGGACAGCTGTGCAGAATTTATAGTCAGTAAAGCTTTTGGTCATACATTATTTCTCTTGATTTTTTAATCACTTAAAAGTGGCATTATAGGGCCAGGGATTTAGCCCAGCGGTGCCGCTGCCTGCTCCACAAGCGGAAGGTCCCGAGTTCGATCCCTGGTACCAAAAAAAAAAAAAAAAAAAAAGTGGTATTATTGTTTCCATGTCTGCTTTACAGATAATAAAACAGGCTCTGAGAGTTGAAAGAATCATGCCAAAAGTCTGTAACTTTACTGTATGATTTCATTATATGAAGTTCTAGAACAGGAAAAGCAAATTACAGTTACAGAAATCAGAAGAGTGGTTGCTTGGTAATGGGAGGAAGAAAAACAAGGGTTGACCAGGAAGGTGCACAAAGGAACCTGTCACAGAATTCCCATGTTACAATATCTTGACATGGGAATAGGTTAGATAAATGAACACAATTGCCAAAACTGCAAATCTGTGTGTTTCACTGTATGAAATTGTACTTCAACTTAAAATGAAGTGAAACTTGGGCTGGGCATGGGCATGTAGCTCAGTGGTAGAGGGCTGCCTAGCCTGTGTGAGGCTTTGGGTTTGATCCCAGCCCCATTCTTTTTTTTTTTTGGTACCGGAAATCGAACTCAGGACCTTGCGCTTGTGAGGCAGGCGCCAGAACCACTGAGCTAAATCCCCAGCCCACCCTGCCCCACTCTTGACTGAAAAAAAAAAAAAAAGAAAAAGAAAAAGAAACTCAAACTCAGTTCTTTGGGGTTGCTCTAACCTAGTACCACTAAAGTTAGGTGGAAAAGCAGCAGGTGAGAATAACAATGTTAAGGTGGGGAGCTGAAGGACAAAGATAGAGGACAAAAGACATTCAAATAGAACAAAAAACCAAAACTTCAGAGCTACCTCTCTAATCCCTTAAGAGACATATACACATGCAAACAAATCCACTAATACCTTAGGAAACTACCAGCAAGAACCTGACGCTTGAAACAGACTCAGTTTTGGGAGGAGGGTGTGGGAGGGTTTGAGACAGGGTCTCACTATGTAGTCCAGCCTGGCCCTGACATCCCTAATACAGCCCAGCTGGGCCTCGAATTTGTGATCCTCCTGCCTCAGTATCTCAGAGTACTAAGATTTCAGGTACATGTCACCATGCTTGGCTTAAGCTCAGATTCTACAGATCTTGCAAGGAAGTTTCCTTGAATGGTACATCTGGGTCAGAACCGACTTCTACTAACAACAGTTTAATTTTTTTTGAGCACTTAACACTTAGGTTAAGCCCTATACCAAATGCTTTTCATCATGCCATCTTGCTTGATCTTCACATTAATCTCTTAAAATAGAGATTGATAACACTGTATTAGATGAAGAAACTGAGGCAAAAGGAAGCTGCATAAATTATTTTACTCCACAGAGCCAGGAAGTGGCAGGGCAAGAGTACTAATGAGTTCTTTCTTTTTCTTTACAAGACGTTAAGAACTATGTCCAAGCTGGGCATGGTGGCACACACCATTCAGGAGGCTGTAACAGGAGGATCACTGTTGAGTTGGAGACCAGCCTAGTGAGTTCAAGGCCAGCCTGAACTACAAAGCAAGATCCTATCTCAAAAAAAAGAAAACAAAACAAAAAAAGGGGCTGGGAATGTAGCTCAGTGGCACTACGCCTACCTGGCAAGCAAAAGGTCCTGAATTTGATCTCCAGTACCAAAAACAAAACAAAACACTTTGTCTAAACCAGTGAGTTGAATGACTCCAGAGCTTAAGCTTCTAAGGGCTAGGCAAAACTCCCTTTTATTTACAAAAGAGAGCCGGGCATGGTGGTGCACATCTGTAATCCCAGCATTAAGGAGGCTGAGACAGGAGGATCACCAAGAGCTTGAGGCCCGCCTGGGCTACATACTGAGTTTGAGGCCATCCTGAACTATATAGTGAGACCCTGTCTCAAAAAAACAAAAAGAGGGCCGGGGATTTAGCTCAGTGGTTCCACCGCCTGCCTCGAAGGCACAAGGACCTGAGTTCATCCCCAGTACCAAAAAAAAAAAAAAAAAAAAGAGAGAGAGAGAGAATGAATCAGAGGTCAATAAACCTACAGATTTCTGCAGTGTGCTAGAGAGAAGCTGTCTGCCAATTGCTTAAGTTAAAAAAAAATATTACTGCCATGTAATCAGGGCATGTTCCTCTGCCTACAGGCTATAGACCTTATTTCCATTCTTCTTAAAAGTTATTTTCATAAAGGGCTAGGGGTATAGCTCTTGGTAGAGTGAGTACTTAGCACATGTGAGCACTTGGGCTCAATCCCTAGCACCAAAAGAGAAGTTAGTTTAAACTGGGTGTCACGGTGTAAGCCTATAATCTCAGCACTCTGGGATGAGGCAGTAGGATTACAAATTCAACTACCCTGGGCAACTTAGTGATTTAGCAAGACCCTGTCCATAAATAAATAAACAAACAGCTGGGATGTAGTTCAGTGCAAAGGCCCTGGGTTCAATCCCTAGTAGTAGAAAAAAAAGAAAAAGCCTCACCAACACTGCCATATTCCACTCTCACTGTTAAATGTAATGTTTCCCAATATCCAATATGCACTGAAATCATCAAATGTTCATGACCTTTATATGTAGACTGATATCCCAGTTGGCCTGGCACTTTTCCCAGTTAAGCACTGAAAGGCATACTGAGAAACTCCTCAGCCTTGGCAAAGTAGGATGGGTAGGCACCCAACCTTTGCTCCAGAAATATCATTTCTAAAAATTTATCCTGGGCCAGGGATTTAGCTCAGTGGTGCCGCCGCCTGCCCTGTAAATGTAAGGACCCGAGTTTGATCCCTGGTACCAATAAACAAACAAACAAACAAACAAATAAAAATTTATCCTACTGCAAACATATAATTAAAAAAATAAAAATTTTTCTTAAATCAGCATTATTTATGACATCTATTTATAACATCCCAGAACAGTCCAGCTGCTTAACATTATGTCACATTCCCATTATAAAATTTGTAGTTAAAAAGCTATAGATCGGGCCAGGGATTTAGCTCAGTGGTTCCGTTGCCTGCCTCACAAGCGCAAGGTCCCAAATTCAACTGCTGGTACCAAAAAAAAGCTATAGATCAACTTGGAAAAATAGCTGCCAAAATGTCAAATACAGTTATTTGAGCTACAGTGGCAGTTCTGTACATGTTGTCATCCTACATCATACTGTACGTACATCCTACAACATACTGTATGTACTGGATGAGATAAAGTATAACTAATGATTTATTAAAGATGAGCTGGGAATTCTGTTATTTTAATATTTTAGGATGACTCATTGGACAATTTTTTTATTAATGTCAATATGGGATCAATACTTACCAAGCAAGCAATAAAACAGAGTAACAGCTATTAAACATTTTCAAACCACAGCAAACTCAGGGCCTCATTTTCTAGCCATAATTTAACTCTCCACAGACGGTTCACTTTGGATTCCGCCACCTCACCAGCCACCTCACACTCACCTCAGCCAACTTGTTGAAGCCCTGTGAGTGGCCCTCTTGCCGTTCCACCTGGCACTTTTTGGCATAGCGACGGTTCCCATCCATTATGAATGCAATGTGTTTGGGCATTGGGCCTGCCTGTTGAATAAGAAGATAAATAATGAGTCAATTCATACTCTTCAGGGATGGGGGGCTACATACCAAGCTGACAGGTTTGAACTATAGGATAAAAAACCCCAAGGAAAGAAATTGGATATTTTACATTTTTAGCATTAGAGACTTTATTTTTATTTATGTTTATTGAACACCACTACATGCCAAATACCATGGTGGGATTTTTATACTTCATCTTATCATGCAACTCTATAAAGTAAATAGTATTATCTCCATTTGTATGTGAAAAAATTGTGCCTCAGAGGTCAAGTGACTTACAGTCATGCACATTAAGAAGAAACAAAGCGGGGCCAGGGATTTAGCTCAGTGGTTTAGCCGCTCAAGGACCCGAGTTCAATCCCCGGTACCAAAAAAAAAAAAAAAAGAAGAAGAAACAAAGGAAGGATTCAAACAGGTTTGCCTGTCCAGTGTTCATCTGTCTCTCTCTTTTTTTGAGACAGGGTCCCAGTATGTAGTTCAAACTGGCCTTGAGCTTACTATCTTGCTCTGGCTGCCCTTGAACTTGTGGTGATCTTTCTGCCTCAGCCTCCCAAATGCTGGTATTACAGGCATGTGCCACCATACCCACCCACAGTTCATCTTTTAACAATACGCTCTTTTTTTTTTCAAGACAGGGTCTCACTATGTAGTTCAGGCTGGCCTTGAACTTGCCTTCTGAGTACTGGAATGACACATACGCACCACCACACCCAACAACAACGTGCTCTTTACTACCATCTTGGTTTCATGAGGCTCTAACAAGAAAGCAAAAGAAGAATACTGTTTGGTAGTTCAATCAAGTGAAGAGGGCATCTTACACATGAATGAGGCACCAAGCCAGAAACAGTGGCAAATGCCTGTAGTTGCATCTACTTGGTGGCCTGAGCAGGATTGCTTGAGCTAGGAGTTAGAGAGACCCTACCAAAAAAAGAAAAAGAAATTTTAAAAAGGCACTCACTGTCTAGCTCTAGCCACACATGAGTTGGGGCAAAATATTGTTCTAATTTTCTAATTGTGCAAGAAACCAACCATCAGGATTTTTATAAAAATTGAGAGGTTTAGTGGCACACATCTCTGGTCTTAGTTACTTGGCATGCTGAAATAGGAGGATCACTTGAGCCCAGGAGTTCAAGGCCAGCTTGGGAAACAAACCTGTCTCTTAAAAAAAAATTCAATTCAATGTCAAGAGCCATTTCAAAACAAACATATTTTTTGAGACAGACAAAATTCCTTATCTGGCAGAGCAGTTTTGGGTTGCCTACCATAGCAAAACTTTTAGTCTTTAATATACCTTCCCTCACCTGGAGGACTAATCACTGACTGTTTCCCCAACACCTCTCTAAGATTTTCTACTTTTGTCTCCCACATGAGGCCTTTTCAAAAACAAAACAGCTAGACACTTGCCTAGCATGTGTGTACAATCTGTGGGTACAATCCCCCTCCCCCACAAAAAAGAGCTGCTTGACACTATGGTTGCTTGACATTAGTGGTTTATATGTATGGGGGGGTGGGGGGGGGTTGGTACCGGGGATCAAACTCAGGACCTTGCCCTTGTGAGGCAGGTGTTTATATGTATGTTTAATTTTATCCTTCTACCAACTCTATAGTCGTTAAAAGCCAGATGGTTAGTAAATAATAGGAATTTCACCCATGCTTGGCTGCCTCCAGAGCCCAAACTGCTAACCAGTATGTTGTACTGCCACATCAAAGAAAGATTCTTTTATCTAAACCCAGGAGACAATACTAGGAACAGTGGGTCAAAGTTCCAAGGAAATAAACTTCAGTTCTCTAGATGGAAAACGTCAGTTGGAACAATAACATACCAGAAATGTAGACCTGAAAGTTGTCTCACAATTCTAAGACTCTTAGTTCTCTTGCTAAAATCCACTTAGCATAACTGATTCCTCAACTTTAATAACAGATTTTGATAAAAATTATGCAACTGACCAAAATGATCAACTGGTGCTTTGGGCTGCTGCCTACCTTTAGGATGTTGGCACAGAATCGCTCCCAAAGCGATAGTTCTCCTTCCTTGATCCATGACATAATTCTTACCCCGTCAGACGATCACCCCAGAACAAGACACCAGCCCGATAACCTTGGAAAAGAAGGCAGAAAATAATAAGTCATCAGTGCTTGCAATAAGTTTCAGCTGACTCCTAGAGACTGACCTGGACTTGGAAAGCAGCCAGAGTTAGAATCCAAAGACACTGGTCGAAGCCGCTAACCTTTTACCACCCAGAGCTGTACAAGCCAAAGATACCTTTGGAACCAAAAAAACCTTTGCTTAGTTCTAACTTAGTGGACTTTGATTACATTTTCTTTTCCTCCTGATCTAAACTTACTTCTTAACATTTAAGTCGGCTTCCTGCCACATCATGGTGCCTAGTGCTTGAGCATTCCCCGCATCTTCCCTCTCAAACTTCCCCCAAGCCATTTCACATTCTGCGTCCCCAGTTAGAGCCCTTCAGCTGTCGCACCCGTGACCTCATACCTTATTGGTCTCGTACTTAGTTTTACGTTTATCTCTTCCGCAGCTACTTCCTCGCTCGGTCACCTCTCTCGTCAATCGGGTCTAGCACCTGTATAGCTCTGCCGGACACATTCCAACTTCTCCCGAACGCCGACACTTCCTCACGACTTGGCGCTGGAAAAACACGTCATATTTGGGCGCTGGAACAAGCTCCCTTTCGTCATCGGTGGGCGGAGCCCCACTCTGACCCTGCGGGCGAGGTTGGGGAAGCGATTGGACCGTTCAGTCAGCCGGTCCCGCCGGCTCCCGCAGGTTGTGGGCGGGGCCCCGGGGAAGGCCGAGTTCACGAGACAGAGCAGGGGCGTGGCCGCGCTCCAGGCCTTGGGCTGGGGAACTAAGGAAGGCGGGGTCGAGCCCCCTAGGGTGAGCTGGAAGCCCTGTGGACATTGTGGTCAGAAATTGAGGGGTTTCTGGACCGCTGACGATACTCAGCAGAGAAGTGGGGTAAGGTGTTCAGCCAGTCAGGCTTTACGTTGGAAGGCCCCGAAAAACTGGATTACTTTAGGAGCCCTGCTACTATTTAGCCTTAAAATTTATATTTTTACAATATTACGTTTTATTTGGTGGATTTAATCGCTTGGGAAGACGTTCCTAGCCCTGGTCAATCGTAACGCTCTGAGTATCAACCCGGATTTTATAATTTCCAGATTCCTAGGACCCACCTAAAGCAACTGAACAAGGAGGGCTAGGTGCATAAACGGCTGTGATCTAAGAATGACTTCTAGGTTCAATCACAGTACCGCTAAATAAAGGCTCCTAAAATAACCTAAAGGCTAGCAGGGTGCGGTGGAGCAAGTCTGTAATCCTAGCTATTTGTGAGGCTGAAGCAGGATTGAGTTCCAGCTCAGTGTGGGCAATTTAGCAAAACCTTCTCTCAAAACAAAGGGCTGGGATATAGCTCCGTACTGAGTACTACCACCAAGAAAAAACACGAACAAAAAGAAAACACCAGGCCGTAATTGACCAAGATAGAAAAATCAAGGGTAGTAGCTTTGTACCAAACCTGGCTGGACTTTTAGGCACTGATTCATGTAAGAAATTGGTAGTTCCTTCTCTCAAAATTGAAAAAAATAAATTTATAGTGTGATACAACCAGTGTTCCTTTCAGAGGATAAAACAACTTCCATCAGAATAATTTCAACAAACCTTGTTTTACCTCACTTTGCCTTGCAGTTTCAAACAGGATAAGGAATAGATGTTGCAAAGGTACTCCCTAACGATGTTTTCCTCTTTCTGATGAAAAAGGTTATTTTTAAGAGTATGTGTAGCTCAGTAGTAGACTGCTTGCCTAGTGTGCAAGAGGCGTGTGTTTCAACTCCTCCCATGGGGAGTGGGGATACCAACAGAGGCAGCATGATTAAAGAGAGCCCTGGAAATAAGTAACTCACCCATCCTCTCCCTGGTGAAATGGGGATTCAGTTTCAGCCTAGCAGTTATTTCGGTTTTGCAAGAAGTCCTTTAATTTAAGCCCAGTAATACCTTGCTGAGCTGTGAGCTTCCACTGTCAGCTTTGACTTTTGGTACACTTAGTTAAGGGGCCACAAACCTCCTGGACAGGATGCATGAAATTTCTAACCCTTTCTCTGGTAGGGTTGCCAGAAGATTTAATCCTGTGTTCCCTTGCACTTTCTTGGTTTGCCTCAAATGAGTTATTTTTCCTTGAAGGGAGACATGTTTAAGAATTCAATATTTGGGCCAGAGATTTAGTTCAGTGGTTTTGCCGCCTGCTGCGCAAGCGCAAGGACCCGAGTTCGATCCCTGGTACCAAAAAAAAAAAGAATTCAATATTCATTAGAATGCTAGGAAACTTTGGCCCCTTGGTTTATAATTATAATTATATAATTTATAATTGGTTTATAATTATGTAAAAATGTTGGTTTAGTTAGTGAATCACTTCTGGCCTCAACTTCTCCATTTCCGAATCCTACTTTCCTTCTTAGGGGCTGCAAGGGGTTAATTAATTAAGATTTGTAAAGGGCTTTGAGGAGTAAGAGACAAAGTACTATTAGGGTCTCATGCCCCAAGCCATGGCCCCATCCTTTCATCCCAGCCAGTGGTATAGGCAACCCCATTCTTATGCATGCCAAGACTCTAATCCCCTCTTGAATGTGGCAGCTTCCAAGGAGAGGACAAGAGGCCTTAACTAGAAACAAAAATCCACTGTAATGAGGTGCTCTGAGGACTGAACTTTTTAAAAGATTCACTCCTAACAAAGTGGTGAACGGGAAAAACTTAATGGTTCTTCCATGACTTCTGAGTACCAAAGAAGGTGGGAGTTACGGGAGGAAAAAACACCTGAAATAATCTGACAATATGAACCATTTTAGTACCAATAAGACTTTTTATTCATTGTATTTTCCTGGGGAAAGGAGAAGGGAAGGAAGAGTCAGCACTCGTGTTAGAAAATGATTAGAAAATAGCAAAGGAAGTAAGTGTACAGGGGTACAGCAAAATCAACCATCAAATAGACACCCCGGTGATGGGGTCACCAAAGCCCAAGGGGGCTTGGTCCTGGGAAGTTCAGGAATGGAGTGAAGGATTCAGGGAAAGGACAGGTACATACTTTCCCCCCCTCCCCCCTTCATCCCTCTCCATAAATTCAAGATTTCACACAAAGCTTTGGTTTCTAGCAGTAAACATGGAGTTACATTCGTCTGTCTCCTATTAAACAATCTTGAGGCCACTTTGACATAAGTTTCTTGCACCTGCATAAAAGTTCCTGAGTGACTTGAATATACATTCATACTCCCTTTCCTGGTCTCCTGACCCCACTTTCACATAGAAGGCCCCCAAGACCCCCACTTCCTTTTCTCGAGGATTACAAACTCAGTAGGTTTGATCCATCCAGACAGCAGGTGCTTGGCATGAATTGTATCAAATAACTGTCTTGACTCATGAGGTTGGGAACAAGGGGTAGAGGCTCCTTGCTCCTTCAAGATTTCTGCATAAGTCTCTTAAGAGTTGCAGAGATACTCCAAGAATTAAATATGTATGTGTGTGGGTATGTAGGTTTTCTTTAGGGGAGAGAAAAACGTAGGAGTCAAGTTTTTAGGACAGATTTGGTCCCAAATAGGAAACAAGGAAAAGGGGACTACAAAAGAAAAGATGGTTCATGATCCCCACTTCAAAAAGAGCCTCCCCAAACTTATTTTTCAGATCCTTTTGCCTGGTGCAGAACCTTCTGTCAAAGATCCTTTGGCTATTTTTCTCTCAATACAAAAAAAATTTTGTAAACAATAAAACCCCAAAAGAACATGGAGAAAAGACCAACACATTATATTTACACAAACTAGGCCACCTAGCAATCACCAACTCAGAGACTCAGTAAAGTCCTACAAAGCCCAGACAAATATAATAATTAAGAGGAGGGCAGCATTTGAGGGAGACAAGAAACCAGGATCAGACACACACTACCCAATGCGTTCTATTGCATTTGTCCCGTCTCAACACAGTGAGGTAGGTTTGCAGTGATCTCACAGCATGTAAACGAAACCCCCCTTTTCTCTTCTATTAGTCACTACTGCAGCAGGGCAGGACACTGGCTCCCAGCACCACTGAGGCCCTCTTTTATGGGTCTCACTGGAAGCCAAGAATGTTGAATGGTTCCGAATTTTAGTCCTTGCTTCGTGTAGCCATTCCTGCACAGCACATAATGGGCACAAGGGTATTGGTATTAAAACAGCCTTACCAACTCACTTTCTTTTAATATATAAACACACACACACACATACACCCTGTTGTGCATTGTAGAGCTAGGCTTATCTAGCGAAGAATGGATCAGATATGTAAAGCCAGCCCCTTGCCCTATGATTAGACAACCATCACATCACCTAACCTCAGCTTCCTCTCTGGGCCTTTTACCTGGCCCAGCCTCACCTAACTTTTCTGCACCACCTTTTCCTGTTTGGACTAATTTTCAGTCTTCCAGTAGAAGATCAAGTTGTGGGGCAGACCCTTTAAAACCTATCCTCCTATGAAAAATGGAGAGGGTTTCAAGAGGGTACTATGGCAGAAGACTCAGCTCTCATTGGCAAAAATGAGGTAGTTCACTTCGATAGGCTATGCACTCCAAATGTTTGCTCTCTATAGTGATAGAAACAAAAAGTATTCCTGCTGTGCAGACCCGGAGCTGCTGCCGACTTATCCCTGAGATTGCTCATGTACCTGAGAACACAGTGCAGGAATGAGGGCCTTAGATTAAAATATACAAAAATACAAAGCCAGAATATTTATATTAAGAAAAAAAAGTTAAAATGCACAAGATACGTCATTCGCACACAGTGCAGTTGGCATCCTGGAGAAAGTGGGACCCAAGGTGCAGTCATCTAAAGGAGCAAATAAATAAAATCACATTGGCCTAGAAAGGGGTGGGAGTGAGTGAGGAGCAGCAGATCTGCAACTGTTCTCCCAACCACCCTTTTTGCCCGTCATCATAACACATTGCTTGGAACAGTTCCCAGCACCACGTCCCAAGATTGGGTTATGAGGAAAAAAAGATGCTAAAAACCCCACATTGCTCCCGAGATTCCCTCCCACAGAATGTAGTAGCTCGTAGGTTGGGTCCATTAATCTGATCTCATACCTAATTGATTTCCCTGGTAAGGGAAATATTATTACATATCCTTCTTTAAAAGGAAAGCAACTTCCCTATCCTTGTGGGGGTATAAAGCCTCAGATAAAGCATCCAGGTTCTAGGGTGGCTCTCCCAAAGCCCTCACTTTTACTTGGATAGAGCATGGTTGGAGTTCCTTTGCCTCACCCCCTCCCCCCACTGAGGGAAGATGGGGTGATGCTGGGAACCCCGGCCTGAGAAACATGGCAGTGCCAGCTACCCCAACCCACCCTATCCCCACTTTCTCCACTGCCGATTGATGCCTGCTCCTTGAAACTTCCTGATAACAAAGAATATCCCCCACCCACTGTGCTCAATTTTGGGCCTCCGGAAGTAGGGCAGGGCTGTTGATCTCTTCCTCTTCCTCTCGGAAGTAGACTGGCTTCCCCTGGGAGCTGGGAGCCTGCTGGGCCTTCAGTGGACACGAGGCTACCATATGGTTAATGCTTTGGCAGAAGTGGCACTTCTTAGGCTGGGGTGGCAGCTTGCATTCCTTGGCATGATGGTCTAGACCACCACAGTTGTAGCACCTGATACAAAGCAAAATTGTAAAAAGTGAGAAGTGTGGGAAAAAAAAGTCAGAAGACTCCCTCAAGGGAGGACACCTGAGCTTAGGTCCAGGCTCGTCGTCACTAAACTCACCTCCCTCCCTAGAGACCAATTTCCCCACTTATAAATGGAAGAATGTGGACTAGATGATCTATAAGTCCTTTCCAAATCTACCTAGATGATCTCTTCAAGATTCATGTCAACTTAAAAATATCAGGGGGTACCAGGGCCAGGGATTTATTAGCTCAGTGGTTCTGCCACCTGCCTTGCAAGCACAAGGTCCTGAGTTCAATCCCCAGTACCAAAGAAACAAAAACAAACAAACAAAACACCCAACAACAACAAAAAAACCAGGGTACCAAGAAGAGAGTCACTGACCAGGACTATCAACTACAACACAGGCCAGGTAAGTCTACCATAGCCTTTATAAAGAAAATATTTTGAAAGCTAAATTATACATCTGCTCAGAGCTGAGAGGTTTTAAATCCACTATCAAGATTGCAAGGGGCCAGGAATTTAGCTTAGTGGTTCTGCCACCTGCTTCACAAGCACAAGGACCCAAGTTCGATCCCCGGTACCAAAAAAAAGATTGCAGACATCAGGGCTGAGGATGTAGCTCAGTGGCACCGCACCTGCCTCGATAGTGCAAGGTCCTGAGTTTGATCCCCAGTACCAAAAAAAAAAAATTACAGACATCAGTCAACTGAGACCTGGTAAGGAAACAGCAGACACACAGGTACCATCCTGTCCCATCACTCATATACGGTCTCTTCTCACATCATCATGGGTAATCAGTGTCTCGCTCCTCACTGATCAATATAGTGGCCTCAGCTTCACAAAGCAGAGTGAGAGCTGCACCTCAACCATGCAGATGTTGCCAAGGACCATAGACTTCATCTTATCTCTAGTAACCTAGCCCAAGTGCAGATTAGGAGAACTTTCCCCATCCTCAGAACGTTTCCCTGCCCAGCAACCTACAGAAGCTATGGTCTAAGCCATACCTGTCTCCTTTGGATCTACGCTTCTGCATGTTCTTCCCCTTGGGTCGCCTCTCACTCCCAATACAGAACACCCCACCGGGACCGGTGACACGGATGGATTCCAGGCCCTTCGCAGACTTTTTAAAGGTGAACTCCACTGCCTCACCCTCCTTCAGGCTCCGAAAACCCTCCATGTGCAGCTTACTCTGGTGAAGGGAAATATAGTAGATGTTACCATTGTTCCCATCATTATACCAAAAAGCAAAAATGCACAAACCTATTCCTACAAGGTAGAAAAGCATGGGTGACAGTACTCCCACTTTATCAGCAAGTAAACTATGAATTCCAAGGTCACTAATCAACAAAAATTTATACAACAGGGCCGGGGATTTAGCTCAGTGGTTCTGCACCTGCCGGCCTCACAAGCGCAAGGTCCTGAGTTCCATCCCCAGTACCCGAAAAGAAAAAAATAAAATTTACACAACATTAACAAGTTTATGATGACATAAACAGATGCCAAAACATTTTTTTGTAGCTATTCAGGTTTAAAATTATAGTAAAAAGAACAAAGAAATCAACAAATATAAAATTATAAAATAAAAAGCTCAACACTGTATAGCCCTCAAACACTATGTGTTCACATAACACCTTAGTTTTTATACTCATCTAAAGACCAACTATCTAGAATACTGGTAAAAGGTGAAAGATTTATACGAACTGAAGAGAAACCAGAGTTAGAATATTAGAAAAAAGAAAAAAAATTAAGTAGTACTCATATCAAAGTATTATTGGAAACTTTAGTAAAAAGAAAAAGATGTGAACAATTTAAGAAATAATCATAATGGCAGCTAAAACTTACTGCAAATTGTTAGTAAACTGACAGAGCACCCTAGCCAAGTTCAAAATGTAGCATTATCATATCTATAAAGGGACACACAGAAGTAGGACACACATATCTCCTGAGATGATTGATGTACTAAGGACACATGACTTTAAAATGCACATCGTGACTCTAACCTTGAGAGATCATTAGACAGATCTAACCTGAAGGACATCTTACAAAACAGACCTATATACTTCACAAAAGTCAAGATCATGAAGGACAGGACCAAATAGGAAAATACTGTATGGTTAAATTCAACACAAGACTTTGAGTTGGATCTTGGAACAGGAAAAAAATAGGAAAACTGACAAAATTTGTGTATGTAATATAAATATATCAATGTCAAATTTCTTGACTATGATCATAGCACTGATACTGTGTACCCTATTCTTGGGAAATACATACTGAAATATTTAGAGGTAAAAGTGATGAACACTGCAACTTATTGTTAACAAGAAAAAAATTAAACTGCAGAGTTGAAAAATGATAAAGCATGGAGCAAAATGTTAATAATTGGTGAATCTGGGTAAATGCTGCCGGGGAATATCTTGTACTATTCTTGTACCTTTTTCTATGTTTGAAACTATCTCAAAATGTTATAGAAAGTTAAAGACAGCATGACCCAAGCAGGCAGATGAAGGATTAAAATGGAAAGTCAGAGAGAACCAAGAATATATGGAGAATCATTAGGTGGGGAAAATAAGTCAATAACTTATGATGAGAAAATTATCCATTTGTAAATATACACATGCAAAACATTTCAAAATACATAAATTTAAGAAGAAAACTGTAAAAGGACAGATTATCAGGCTGACAAATCTGCAGAAAGCTACGTTAAGCAAAAAGAATTACATAAGTGGGTAATGTATGTACACATTTATCTACTGTTGATAAAATGGAAATTAATTTACTAGTTTGTTAGTTGAGAAATGGTTAATATATGGTACATCCACAATAATGAGAGCATACAGGCATTAAAAAAATGTATAGTCTCATTCATTGCCACATTTTGGTACCTCAAATAATGCCCAGCACATTTTTTGGACAAAGGTAGATTTTTGGTTTATTTTGTTTTTTTTGAGATAGGGGTCTAGCAGGGTTGGTTGAACTCACTGTCTCAAGTGATCCTCCTGCCTCAGCATGCTGGGACTATAGCTGTAGCCCACACCTGGCCAACAGAGGTTGATTTTTGGTGGTGGAGGTACTAGGGGTTGAACCATGCATATTAGGTAAGCACTCTGCCAGTCACTAAGCTACATACTCAGCCTCAGAAGTAGATAATATAGATAAATGAAAATAAAAGTAAAAATTTAGAACCATTTGTACAGAAGAATCCCATTAAAATACCACATATTTGTACCAAAACTGGGGGGGGGGGTAGTTGCCAAATGTGGTAGCCCGCCTTTTTTAAGAGGGAAATATTCATATAGTTAGTTGAATAGCAAAACCAAGACCAGAAGAACCCAGTGTTCTTGATTTAAAGCTGTTACTACCATTCTACTTACTCTTATCAATAGCACATAAATGAAGGGACAGTCCCTTCTAGTCCCTCCCCAGAATACCTTCATTACAGCTTCTACTATTAGAGTAGGACATCAAAGACATGTGTATCAAATATGTCAACAAGGAATAGTCAAGGAAAAATGAGTTCAGAGAGTGATAGTGATCCCTCTGTACCTATCCCCAGACCTGACTAGAGGGAACACAAGTAAGTAGCACTAGTATTTTATGTGGTAGAATTTTTCAAACTAGGACGTAAATGTAATATGCTTATTAGGTAGATGAGAAAAACAAATTCCTCCATCTCTCCTCTGTACCAGAGATTGAACCCAAAGCATTCACACTGAGCTGGAACTTGTGATCTTCTTGCCTCAGTCTGCCAGAGTGCTGGGATTATAGGCATGTGCCAGCACAACTGGTTCAATCATTTTAATTTTTTTGTTCTAAAATGTCAGTTCTCCATTTACTGGCTGCATGACCTTTGTCAGATTCCTCTCTGAGCCCCAGAGCCTTCAAAGATTGGAAAACCAAATAAGATCTAATGAAAATTACATGGGCACAGAAATACCAAAAGTATACAGTAAATATATATTGTTCCATCATACTCCAAAGGTATGGGATCTTTTCTCTTTTTTTTGGAGGCGGCGGGTGGAAGTGTTTTGGGGGATTGAACCCAGGGGCTTAACACAAGCTAAGCATGTGCTCTCCCCCTGAGCTACAATCTCTAACTCCTATATTTGTTTTTATGCCCACAGACATATCTAAGGATGTGATGATTCCCCCACCCCACCCTGCTCCAACTTGATGTGGGCAAAGGGGCAGAGCATTAAATCAGGAAATAAACCACCAGGTTTGGTGGCACACATCTGTAATCCCAGGACCTAGGAAGCTGAGGCAAGAGGATTCCTGAGAGTGCAAGGCCAGCCTGGGTTACATACCACGTTCAAGCACAGGCTAAACTACATAGTGAGACCCAGTCTCAAACAACCACAAACCACCCCCCACAAACCAAAAAAAAAAAAAAAAAAAAAAAAAAAAAGATAAAATCACTGCCATGGGAAAAGAGCCTTTCCCCCTCCCTGTTGTACAGTAACCATCCCAAATTTCAAGTGATATGGGATTTCTCTCTTACTGAACTGGAAAAAAGATGAGTGAATTCGGTGAGAGGGAGAAATGGAGGAACAAGACCAAGAAGTCTTCTCACCAGGCAATTCCAGCTTCATGTGGCCTGGGAGACCCTCAAATCCAGCAAATAAGTGATAAGAACAAGGGTTGAGTCCCAAGGCTTGTTCCCTCCCTTCCTTACTCATTTATAAAATGCAGTATATACTAATTTTATTGTGGGGCTGTGAGGTTTTATGTGTGAAAAGTCACTAATATCTCACCTGCCATACACAAATCCTCATCTTCAGGCTGGATGGGAACAAGCTAACAGAACAAAGTGTCAAGAGACTCAAAATTAACTCTGGCTTTATTACCCAGCAGCTGTAGAAACTCAGGAAAATATAGCCCCCCCCCTCCAGTTCCCAAAGAGTAACACCCTCCTCCATTGACAATGTATAGGCTTGTGAGAACAAGGGCCAATGTAAACAGGGACATGCAGTATGAAACTAACCAGTCCTTTCAGGTCCCTGTATCACTTAAGGACTTGAGGTTTATTTAGGACCTTTAAAGAATATAGGAAAACAAAACAAAACAAAACAAAAACAACCCTTCAGGTACCTCCATGTAACTGGTGGGCTAAGATTTAAACTGGTGATCTCTTGGGGTGGCTCCCTGCCCCCCATCCCTGCTCCCTTCCAAGACACATAGTTTAAATTCCTCCCTTATCAGATAGGTAATCAGTGTGCAGCCCCATAGCCAGCCTCTCTGGGCCTGCAACTGAAAGAAGCCTGAAATTCTTGTACCACCCCCACTCTACCCTCAACCACACACAAAGCAGGTCCCAGCCCCCTCCAGATCCCCTCCAAAAAGAAAAGGGCTTGGGGGGGAGGGGCCTGGCTTGAGCTCCCCCAATAGAGCCCAGCCCCAGGGAACAAAGAATTGACACTGGTTAGTTCTGGTGGTCAGATTCCTGGAGTTCCAAGGCACAGATTCCCCCTTGCATGGCTCTAACCCTCCCCCACATTCAACAGGATCAGTGCCCTCCTCTGTATGTTGGGGTTATGGTCACAGAGGGAGAAATGGATACAGAAATGCTTATCTTCTGGTCAGTCGTGCTGGGTTTGCCCAGCCAACACCCCTTCTCTGTGGTCTGCTTAACCTGCACCTCTTGGGTGTAACCAAAGAGGTCCCCCTCCCCTCGAGTGACTTCCATGAAGTCCTACACAGAAGAGCCTTATTTATTCAGATAAATGGTTTTAAAGTGGTAGGGGAGAGGTGGCAGAAATTCCATCTTTCTTTCCCACTTAGTTCAAGTTAGGAAGGTAGGAGGCCTGGCTATCCCCAGGAAGACAGCACTTAGAAAACAGTTGCAGCATTTATTTTACTCATGTCAGGGCTGTAGTCTCCAGTATGTAGGCCCTCTGCTGCTATCTGACTTCCTTCCCCCTTCACCCCAATACCCCTTCCCAACATTTGCTTCTACCTCAATTTGGAGAGGTTGGACCTTAGGAATGGGAGACTTAGGAAAAGTAAAGGTTCTGGTTCTTTCAATTATATGTCCAAGAACAGGATCATACTTAAAAGCAATCATATCTCTTCCCACTTATTTTAGTCACTGTTCCTTTCTATGTAAGTGGCAAAACCCAGAATTTCATGATACTCATCTACCTCATGAGAACCAAAATTGGAGTTCTTAGCTCTATGCAACACAGATTTCAG